ATGCCAAACATTAGTATATAAATAACACATAGCTGAGAGGGTGATAGAGCAGATTGTTACCCCGAGAAAACATTGTCAACTGAGGCAAAGCCAAGGTTGACAATGTCTTTTCGAGGGGTAACAATCTGCTCTATAACCCTCTCAGATATGTGTTATTTAATTTATTATACTGAATGTTCTTTTATTACTGTCGATTAAATTTCAAATTCAAAGTAATAAACTATGACGTCTTGTACATAACAACCATCCATATTTAATAAAGCGCACACTTGATCAAGCATCTCTGTGAAGGGTAATAGAGTATTTGCCATAGGATAGAGTTGTATTTAATAAAGTGCACACTTGATCAAGCATCTCCGTGAAGGGTAATCGAGTATTTACCATAGAATAGAGTAAATTAACACCCTCGTATAAGCCAATCAAAATATTGCATTTTGATGTGGAGCATAAAAATAAAATTTGTCATTTAAGGGCAATAACTCTTATAAGAAGTAGTCTGGCAGTTTTGATGGTAAAGACAATATGTAGATCTCATAATTTTAAACATTTTTGCCTGGTTAGATTTTCTCCATTCATAGCGGTTTTCAAATTAATATAGACAAAACTTGTGTTATGTTCTATTTTTAGCCATGTCAGCAAAGTTGGTTGACAGGAAGGGTCATCAGACACAATTTTCAAACTATATACCCCAATAATGCTTGTGTCCAAGTTTGGTTAGATTTGGCCCAGTAGTTTCAGATGAGAAGACTTTTGTAAAAATTAACAGACGACAACGGATGCCAGACGAAGCTGGACGCCAAGTGATGGACCAGGTAAGCTAAAAATAAACCAATGGCACAATTCTTACCATCTCTTGTCGGATCATACAAAGACATTGCTGCAGATCCAGCAGATAATAAAACTTTCTGGAATAATGTTGTAGGGATGTGTCCAGGGTATAGATCATCATATTGCAGAGGTCTTTCTTCATCATGTTCTTTTTCTTCTTCTACAATTGACAGATGCCAAATGAAACAAAAGTAAATACTGTTGGTTTTCAGGTTTAAAACAAATGGAAGTAGAATGAAATGTAAATTTTCTTAAGTGACCTGTTTCTGGTATTATCATTTGAAAAAAAAAACACTTTTATTTGTAGTGCCTAAAAAACTAATTTAACAAACTATTAAGTTTTTTACAATTTTGTAACCTTGAACTTGATGCAAAGGTGCACATGCATATATGCACATAATACAAAATGGAATCAACATGTTCCAGAATTTAACAGTTAATCTGTTCTCAATGAAGTATAAAGCACTTTAAATGTTATATATCAAGTAATCATTAAGTAACAATATTATATAATTCTTATATGATTTGCCAATCTACAAAATATGAATTGTGATTGGTTACTTCATACATAAAGGCATAGCCAACGGGTCTCACAAGCTAGTGACAAGAACACTAATTTAGCATCAAGAAATTGAACAATTAATTATACAAAATAAAGAAATACAGAAAATGCAAGAAAATGTTTTTTAATATATACATGTAGTTTCATTATTTCAATATTTCTTTATACTGAAAGATGAAGAAAACAAACATTTGTTCAAGAAAATATGGAATGTTTAGTTTTTTTATTATCAAGAATATGTTCTAGATAATGTTTTTACTTCGGTTGGTTCTCTCTGTAAAATATTCAGTATGCCTTCGTTTGTATAATATTGTCAAACTTGTCAAATAACGGCCAGGTACCAGTCAATGTATTTTACTGGGATACAACAATTTCTCGAGAACTCCCAAAAAGTCAATGTGCGCTCTAGAACCGATAGATAATATTAACCAAATACTCAATTTTATATCGTGTAATATGCTTTTATTGATAATCATAACTATATATTTGATTATTTGTCATTTTTACCTTATAAAAGGACAATTCAACTTCAGAAATTTGATTTGAGTGTCTTGTATGCAAGTTCCTTGTGTAATCTGTACACAGGGTAAGCATGTCTATTTTTATTAAATAGAATAGGTTCGTTACCAGTTTGATACTGGATCTGAAGTGTTCTATGCACAGAGTATATGAATTATTCACCAAATAACTTATATCCATCAAATTATGTCAACGAACTAAAATATATACAACTGCTCTTGCTTCAACAGTTAAATTTATCTATACATCATGTACATTAATCATTCCACTTTAAAATATATACAAATGATACAAATTTGTACAAATACCAATTTGTCCTTGGTCAGGGACAAACTTGTCCTTATGGTACAATTCAGTACCCTACAAGCTACGACTTGTCCTAATGGTACATTTTGGTACCCTACAAGCTACAACTTATCCTAATGGTACATTTTGGTACCCTACAAGCTACAACTTATCCTAATGGTACATTTTGGTACCCTACAAGCTACAACTTATCCTAATGGTACATTTTGGTACCCTACAAGCTACGACTTGTCTTATACCTTTATTGAGTAAAATGACATGTATCTCAAAATTAAAGACTTTATTATCTATTAAAGCAGTATAACTCCATATACAGTCAAGTTTATGGGTAATATCTATCGGTTTTCCTGTTTGGGGAGTTCTCAGGAAATCATTGTAACAGTATTTATTGTGTTCATCATCTGAACACTAGTTAGTACGTATGTCGAAAATTGATGAAATTCCACCGTAGCATTTGGTTGAGGCAAACTAAAGTTAGAGAACGGAAACGAAAAATTCAGCAATTTTTCCATTTGTAAAGGGGCATAACTCTAGAACTGTTAAAGTGACACCACCATAATTCAAACTTGATCTGTATTTTGTGGTAATAAGCATTGTGTATAAGTTTCATAGCATTTGGTTGAGGCAAACAAAAGTTAGAGAACGGAAACTAAAAATTCAGCAATATTCCCTTTGTAAAGGGGCATAACTCTAGAACAGTTAAAGTGACACCACCAAAATTCAAACTTGATTTGTATTTTGTGTCAATAAGCATTGTGTATACATTTCATAGCATTTGGTTGAGGCAAACTAAAGTTAGAGAACGGAAACGAAAAATTTGAAGGAATGGGGTACCTGGCCACATGAGGAATGACGGTTAGGGAGCTACCATTTGATTTTTATGGGGGGGGGCTAGGATAAAAAAATTTGTCCTGCCTTTTTATTTTTCCCTCTATTCTGTCCTGCCTTTTTATTTTTCACTCTATTCGGTCCTGCCTTTTTATTTTTCACTCTATTCGGTCCTGCCTTTTTTTTTTTAGTTTATCCTGACTTTTTTTTTACTCAAAACTCCTGTCCTGCCTATTTTTTTCAAATTTCATCCTAGTCCCCCCATAAAAATCAAATGGTAGCTCCCTTATGTATGTGTTAAAATAACTTTAACAATAAACATTATACTCCATTTGGCACTAACATTAGCTACAAAATGAAATTTGACTAATGACGATAAAAAAATTAGGCTCATTTGACACTAACAGTAGAGAAAATGGGTGTTTGACGCTTGACGATAAAGGACATTCCTACCCTCATTATCAGGCTCATGTACAGGAATATACATACATGTGAACCTCCCGACGGGAGTACAATAATCCCGTTTTCAGGGGTCTCCTCCCGACCTCCCGTTGAAGAGAAAAAAATCCCTTGTATGAAATATTTCATGAATGAAAAATTTCAGCCCAACATATCTGGTGTAACTGACATTAGTCATTACCTGAAGTTATATTTGACCTGTAAATCAATTAACATGCATAATTATGTGGCTTTACTTGTCAGCTTGGGTGTCAAACATACTGGTAATCAATGATTTTTACCTCAGGCTAACTGCCGTTGTGTAATAAAAACTTTGTAATTGAAATGAATTTAGGGTTACTTCCTTTGATATATCCTGTTTTAAGTTATATTCCTTTAAATAATGTAAATTTTTAAAATGATATAAAAAAATATCAATTAAACAAATAATCATAAAAGGATGGTAATTAAATGATTTTAAATGTCTTAGGACAAATAAAAAAATAATAATTTGAAAATATTTGAAGGTTCTTTACTTCCTTTCAAGGCTTAAATTGAAATTTATATAATAATTATGTGTTTTATAACTCCCTAAAACCGACCGTGCGAGGGCTGTATAGCCAGTCAAGGTCGTTAAAAACTCCCATCATCAACTCCCTAAAAAGATTTATTTGCAGATTGTAAAACAAATGTTCTGATTGCTGTGACTGTACCAAAGAATAATGGTAAAAAAGATATAAAACAAAAAATTTAAAGAACATACTAAAAAAAAAAGAATGTTAGCTTGAACATGTTGAATAAAGAAAGAGAAAATTTATAAGTACAAGGGTACTATAAACATAATACATTCGGATGGAAAGTTGAAGAAAAAACACTTTAAATGACAAGTTCTACAGCACATGGTTACATTTTCGACAAAATTTATGTCGATTAAAAACCTCCTGATCTGAGTCCTAATCTCCTGACCAAAATTTCCCAATCTGCTGATCTGAGTTTCACAGTCCATCACATGTATGAATATATCTCTATTTACCAAAACGTTCGTATAAATTGTCCACGAGAAAATAAACAGTTAAAATCATCTCATAACAGTTCCAGTAAGTCTAGCATATTTATATTTTTCATTACAATAATACCAAGTCTTTTATTGCAAAATTTTAGATTTTTACGTTTTTACATAGTTCAAATAATTATGACGTCTTACAAGGCTATTTTTATTTTTTTCTGGGACGCCTTCCTACGTAGGAAGGCGTCCCAGAAAAAAAATTAAAATAGCCTTGCAAGACGTCATAATTATTTGGACTAGTTTTTACAATGAAAAGTACCTGACGCATGACTGCTTGCTGTTCCATTAAAACATTTCTGGCTAACAAATCGACAGCGTCGTTGTGTCAACTTCTGTAGAGCCCTACACCTTGTAAATGTCAAGCTAGATGTCATTTTTGTTCCCTTTTTTCTACTTTCATTTTGCAGATCTGAGCATTCTTGCGCATGCTCATAGAACCGGATATTGCATGTGTTTCCCGGTAAATATTAAAATGAAAGTACACTAAGCATGAATCCTGTAAGAATATCCTTAAATTGTCTACGAAATACAGCTATTAAGGAGGCAACAAGGAAAATTTATATGTGTTACATCAATTGCAACAGAAGTTTAAAAACTTTTCACAGCTTTAGTTCGAAAATAAGTATTCAAACAAGTTTGCAAGGTAGCAGCACCTTCAAAAGACAATTTATTGATGGCAGATATATTGGCAACTATTTTCCCCTTAGAACACTGTGCTCATCGAGACATTATGGTAGTAAACAAGAGGATGAAGGACAAATACAATCAAATCAGACATTAGGAAAAATTGAAGGAAGCCTGCTCATGGCTTACAAGTGTAAAGTTTGTGGAACCCAAAACCAAGAAACATTTTCTAAACAAGCTTATGAAAAGGGGGTTGTTATTGTTACATGTAAAGAATGTAAAAGTAATCACTTGATTGCTGATCATCTTGACTGGTTTCAAGACGTCAAAGGAAGGTAAAGATTACCAATTACATTCTGTATATTTTACATCTCAGATAACTATATTGTGTTTAAGTAGTCTCAGATTTCATGCAACTTGAATATAAACTGATAAAGGTTAAGTAATACACATCGAGTTCACTTTTAAATGAATTAATTGATTTTTATACGACCACAAAAATTTGGCGGTCATATATTGGTATCACATCGTCGTCGTCCACATCGTTCGAAGACATTTGGTTTCCTGACAATAACTTTAGTATTAGTGAATAGAAATCTATGAAATTAAAACACAAGGTTTATAACCACAAAAGGAAGGTTGGGATTGATTTTGGGGATTATGGTCCCAACAGTTTAGGAATAAGGGGCCAAAAAGGGGCCCAAATTAGCATTTTTCTAGTTTCATGACAATAACTTGTGGAACAGTGTATGGATCTCTCTGAAATTATACCACAAAGGGATGGTTAGGATTGGCTTTGGGGGGTTATGGCTCAAACCGTTAAGGAATTAGGGGCAAAAAAGTGAGAAAAAACAAGGGTGTCCTGGTTAATGGACAATTACTAAAGTACAATGTTGTGTTTGAATTACCTCCCTTACACTGCTTTTAAATTATGTATAAAGATATGTTGTATTGTCTTGAGGTGATTAGCTGTCAATTTGTTTTTAGAAGTTACTATTTTAATAATTTTAAAAATGCTGATTAAGGTATATTAATTTTAGCCATGATTATGTATGTCATTTTCTATTTTAAGACTTTTATGATGTATTTAAATGGGTTATTATGGTTGCAAACTCCATTGGAAATTTGAATTGAGATTATGACCATATCTTAGAGGAAAAGAATTTTTTTTTGGAAAAGGGGGGAGGTTAAAAAAAATTGGGGGTAAGAACAAATTTTTCAGAAATCAAAAAGAAAATTTCATCTAAACAAAAAAAGGGGGGGGGGGGGGTGGGTAAAAAAATATGTTTTTGAAAAAGAAGGGGGGGGGGGGTAAATTTTTTTAATTTTTTTTTAGGGGGAGGTCAATTCTCAACAGCATAGTGTATTGCAAAAAAAGCAAAAGAAAGGGGAGTAATTTTTTTTTTTTTTTTTTTGGGGGGGGGGGTCAATTGGCAACAGCATAGTGTATTGCACAAAAGCAAAAAATTTAATAAAAATTCAAATCATATAACCAATTCTAAGTTCTTTGACTACAGTTATTCTGTGTCAGAAACTTAATTTGTGTCAAATATTGAATTACAATCCAAATTCAGACCTGTATCAAGCGCGAATATTGTGTCCATTTTTGTCCCAACTGTTCAGGGTTGGACCTCTGTGGTCGTATCCAGCTGTGCTAGGCGAAGCAATTTATTAAATACTTGTAGATAAAACCTATATATATCCATATTCAATGCTAGATAAATGCTTCATAATGGTGGTTTGCCTTTTTTGGAAGAAAAAAATTATTGGCACTGGCTACGATTACCTCTCAAAAGTAACAATAATTATTTCTTACTGAAAAATATACCATCAGCATCTAAACCTTGCGCATACATTTAAATAGAACTTATCTACAGAATACTGCTAAACTTTTAATTTAATATCTGAATCACTTATACATAAACTTGATAAACTGGGACTGGTGGATGTAATGCATTTAAAAAAAAAATCAATTCTTGTCAATTGCGATCATGGTAAAATCTATCTGTTGAAGTTGGATGACGGTTTATAAGTTGCATTTCATGGTTTGCCTGTACTACTCCCATTAGCTATGCAATTTCAGAATTTAGCAAAATTTGTGCTTTCTATTTCAGGACGATTGAAGAAATTTTAGCTGACAAAGGAGAAACTGTGAAGAAAGTGGTACTTGATGGTGGAATGGAACTGATTCCAAAATCAGATAAAAATAACAATTCTTAAATGTGTATTATTGGAAATAAATAAAAATATTTTTTTAACAAATGTGTTTTATCAGTACATTTCTCTGACTGTAATTCAAGAGTATCCATGAGAAGTTATCACATTACTCATCCATACATGAGCTCAATAAAAATGAAAAATTTACCCTTGAAATAACAAAAATCACAACATGCACAAGGAATGAACAAATCACATTTGTAAAAAAACACTTTGATTTGATGAAAAACTTCTCCGAAACTGATATCATCATGATGCTTATTTTTTATGGAGAACATATAATTTGTTTCATTTAGCAGACATGTAGTATCCTACGGGAACCAACTGTGCTACACTTTTTGCCCACTTTATTTGTATGAGGCGATATGTCATACAATCCAAGGGCTTCTCAACATGCTCAAAAAGAATGAAAAAAAGCTATTAGTGTCCTTTAACCTCATTTTCATCAACCTGATGATTTCTTTTCACTTAATAAATCAAAGTTTTGTGACAATTTTGATTGTGTTAATTTTGCTTAAATACAGATTAGGACAGTTACATGTTGGGCTTATATTAGCTTCATATCTTGACATAGAAGTATACATGAGCATTGGTTCAGAACTAAGATTTAAGACAAGAAATGCAGACTTCAATTTTCATTGTGAACTTCCATTTTTATTTAGCTTTATTCCATGCACACTCATATGGAGTATATTTCAAAGTTAATAGGATATTATGTTTTTTATCAGAATTTCTTTTATAAACGGTTGCTAATGAATGAAAGTTTCTTAATGGTTAAATTAAGCTGAAGTCATCTCTTAGAAACTTTTAAGGATGTTATCAAGATTTTGGAATATATATATGTTTATCACAGATGACCACCGACGTTTATGAATATCACTGAATGTAACTAAATATAAAATCACCAGATTTTGTCTCTCCTGAACCAAAGTCTGTGAAAATGAGACGCAGGAATGCTAAGTAATTCAATTAGTGTTTGTATAACACTTTGTATCTCAGAAGGTAGAAGAGCTGGATAATTCATACCTTGTATAGCGATGCCATATGGAACATTGTTTGTCTGGCATATGATCTTTTTCCTTGACTTCTTCTTCATGGTTCAGCAGTTTTTTATCACATGCATTTTCACTTTTATAATTAATAGGTTAAATATATTTGGTATCCTTGCAAGGTCTTTTTTACTCGTCATACAGGGTTCATCTGACCTTGGCCTCATTTCATAGATTAGTGATCAAGGTTAAGTTTTCATGTTTAGGTCAGAAACTATAAGCAGTAGTGAACTATATTTGGAATGATTGTAAATAAACTCAGCATAGATACCAGGATTAAAATTTTGTACGCCAGACACATGTTTTGTCTACAAAAGACTCATCAGTGACGCTCAAATCAAAAAAGTTATAAAGGACAAATAAAAAGATGTAAAAGCACATCTAGCAGGGTTCATCTGAGCTTGACCTCATTTTCATGGTTCATTGGTAAATGTTAAGTTTTATCAAGTGCTGTAGGACTAAGTTGGTTGGATCTCTGGTCAAACCGAAAACTTGCTACCTCTCCATTTTGCATAAAGAATTTAGTAGGAGGAGCAATGACTGGTTGGCACAGTCAGAACTATGCATCTGGTAGATGACAAATGTCTTCCTCTGGACTATTACCGTTACATTGATAGATAGTCTAGTATGAACCAGGATTGTTTATATCATATGCACATCTATTGTCCTGAAAATACATGTAATATTTGCCACTTGACATTGAACATTTGTCATAACAAATGACTTTCAAATTATAGCTCTGCTCCTATCTATCTGAATATTCATTTAAAGATGTCTGTACCACGACTTCTTCCAACACAATGACGGCTATTTTCCAGTTCAATGGATAAATAAAAAGACTTGATGAAATGAAAACACCATTTATTATCAAAACAAAAATAAGTAAGAACACAGAGTAAATGAATGATAAGTATTTCTTATAAATCTTCTTTTAAAAAAAAATTTGATCATATGTTTCATTTAATTTCATATCACTAATAAATGTCTAAATAATACCTAAATAGAATTGCCAAAATTTAAAAGGGAATACAACTCATTTATGTGTCCCTTTATATTTTTCAATACCATTATTATTATTATAACTTTCAAACCTTTTGTACTACCTCAAGGTATTAGATATTTAGGTTTACAGATAAAATTTTATATGATATGAAAAAAAATATAATAAACACATGACGAGATCAGTAGATATTGCACCAAATACTTAAAATAAGTGGAATCCACAAATTTTGTGAAAACAACAAGTATTATAAGTGAAAAGTAAAATCAATTCTGTTAAACTACACCAAAATCATTGACTGAAAAATGGGTTATATTTAGACATGTCCTTTTGAATAAATTCACTGGTGTCGAAATTCCTTTCCTTGGGTTTTTTCCCCAATGGAAAAAAAACACTAGTCTGTCAGGAAGATATACATTGAGCCAATTTGAGGCATTCTGTATACTGGAAATTCTACTACCCAGAACAAATGTATGTTTACACTAGTTTGATACAAAACTTCAGATATAAATGTAGCAGTGGAAGAATCATCAGAACTTTTTATAAGAAAAATATCAAGAGGAGGTTGCTTGGTTTATTTAATATTTAAAAAAAATAAGACTCATCTTATATTAGTTTTTGCATGAAGTTCCTTATCTAAATCTGTCACTATGAAGTGTCAGAGGCTGCTCTGGCTCCAAAAAAGTTAGAGCCAGAAAAATCGCAAGCTGCTATATTTTATCGGCAGTTTTGAAAACTTGGAGCCACCTTTAAAGACAGCTAGCATCTTGATTTCCTTTACCCAAATTAAAACTATGTTCAACTTAAATTTTTTATGCACTGTACATCATTTAACTTTAAGCGATGATTTGTCATGCAATGTTATGAATGCTCTGTTACTTTATGCTTTTTCTTCCTTTCTGTGAAAGAAAATATAAACAGGTTCAAGGACACTGTTGCCTGAAGTTTTGGAACTAAAGCCAAAGGATAGATTAACTTTATTAAATTTGACTGAGGCAAATTTTGAAAAAAATTTCGCTCCCTTATTTATAAAGTTTGAGGAGTTGAACCATTCTTTCTTGGCATTAGTACAGTAAATTTCAGTTATTTGCATAGACAAATTGTTAAACAAAATTATACAGTGTAAATCTGAAATTAAATTTAAGGGGTCAAACATAGTTGGAGGTACATGACCTCTTGACAACAGAAGTCCTTCTGTAATTAATGTTGGACATTGTTTAATTTTTTATTTTGTAATCCCATACAAAATTTATCTCTTGTTTCTCTTTTTTTTTTTGGTTTGGTTTCATAGGACTACATTCAGTGGTATATCTATTTGTTACAAAAACAAGTGACGACAAAGCAAGTCCCCTGGAACCTATGTCATTATACCTGTTCCAGTTGGAACAAATATTCTATAACCTTTATTCCCTTAGGAACACATTCTGTAATATTAGTTCCAGTGGATATAATGTTACAGAATATTTCTTCCACTTGGAGCTTATATTATGCAGGAACTTCTATTTCGTGACAATGCTACTACAATGAAATAAACTTAATTAATTCAAAATAAGTCAAAACTGTTTGTTTACAATTCATTTACACTATTTTTCAGTCAAGGATAAAAGGTGGGGAAAATGTTTAAATTCTAAGTAGTTAAACAATTAATACAAAGACAACAATAACATACATATATGATATCTGAAATACAAACATTTAAAAGACAAAGATGATGGAACAACACACACTTCCTGTTTAAGTTCATACAATTTAAGTTCATACAATATGTATCCATGATTCAAAGTAATAACTCTCCTTAAGAATGCAGGATTATTCAGGATAAATTCCGAAAAGACAGGAATACGTTAAATATAAAAAATATTCTGTTCACAGAACAAAATAAATAGTGAAAGAAATGTTGGTGCTTCTAGATACTACAAATTAAACTGCATGCATATATAATGCTTTATGTCAGGCCATAAGGAACACAATGGAAAGCAGGTGTCTAACTGTTAAATATCAAGTGGGACTTAGGAAATTTCTTTCCTCATAATACTTAAACATGCTTTAAACAGTAAGCAAAAATGCATAAATGGGGCTCCATTAGGGTACCCCCTTTAAGGTCACAAGGTCATGTTTAAAAGTTGTCTCAGGTCACTTTTAAGCAAATAAAACATTTCAATAAAACAGTTTCAAACATTTTTAAAGGTCACAGGTCCTTTTAAATGAGACACCAGGTCACAAGGTCTCCCATGTTACCCACAAGGTCGCATGTCAGAGTTGACCATGTTGGAGCCACAAACATAATGCCAATGTACTAATATGTCTTTTTTTTCAATTTTTGGTCAATATTGTTCAATAAAATTATGAAATCTACAACATGACCATGAGTCTCAGATTCAGCATGTAAAAACTGATCTAGGGAATAAACTGACAAAAGATTTTAAACTAAAACAATACAGAAGAATTATTAAGAAAGCACATTGGTAATTATTAAGAACAGCCATTTAATAAAGTTTTAAATAGTGGTTTTAAAAGAAAAGATTTGTCTCAGTTTAAGTTAAGGTCCTGAAATAATCCTGATTTCAGTGTTCTTGTACAAATATAACATTTATAATGACTGATGCAATGACGATGGATTAAACGATTTTTATGATTTTGATTTTGAAAAAAACTTTGGAATCAGATCTACTAGCAGATCCTGTTCAAATGAAGCAACATCTAAACTGTCAAATACCGGTAGGTTTTTGGTGACCTCAAATGCCCAAGTTTGGCATCTTAAAAAATATCATCCTGTACAGGACTCTCAACAAAATCATTGTCTCTGCTAAATTTATGAGGGGGGTGACACAAGGTGCTCATTTCCCAAATCCCGCTTTTTTGTAATTGATTCCAATTTCCAACTTTTTCTTTCTTTTCCCAAGATCCAAGTATTTTACCCCTGGCCTAACTCCCACATCCCCACTTTTTTTTACCCCTATATCCCATATGCCAAAACTGTGTCATCCCCCTCATATATGTCACAACATCAAATAAAGCTTGACTTTTTCTTTCTAAGAAATCTAATGTACACCTATTCTATCCTTCAATTATTACAATGCTGACATCAGGTCATCTAAGATAAAAATTTCTTACCCTACATTCAACATTAGATATACTAATGTACAAACACAATATAATAACCTACATCTGTACAATAAAACAATTAAGTGCTTCACACCACAGAATGATATCAATCTTTATACAAAAAATGTATAAAATTTAAATACCTTGGCAATGTCAATCTCCGATTTTAATGCTGAATACTTGGGTTTTCAAAATATTAATCAGTGGTGGATTAAAAAAGTTAGGTTTTACCAAGGTAATGGAGTTTTGTTTGTTATAAATTTTTACAAAAATATCCAAAATAATTAGCCATTAATTAAAACCTTTGCAATCAACTAAAACTAAATAAAAGAGATATTTTGTAGAAAAATGACGATCGGTACCCATTCTAAGATAGTATTGCTGACATTTAAAATTAAATAATGTTTATTTTTAATACCTGAATCAAAGACTGTAATGATAAATTGGATAAGATTGTAATGAAAATTAAATCATTCCTTTTTTACTTTACCTAAAATATTAGGAGCAACTTTAGTATAGGAGCCTATGCTAAGGTAAAATAAAATGCTTCGCTGGGCGCAGCTTGATACGACCGCAGAGGTCGAACCCTGAACAGTTGGGGCAAGTATGGACACAACATTCAAGCTTGATACAGCTCTGAATTTGGATTGTGATTAAATATTTGACACAGCATAGGTTTCTGACACAGAAAGAATGTTGTCTAAGAACTTGAATTTTTTTAATTTACCTATTATGGTCCAATGTCCAAAATCAAAATACATGGTTAGATTCAGCATATCAAAGAACCCCATATATTCAATTTTTGTTGAAATCAAACAAAGTTTAATTTTGGACCCTTTGGACCTTAATGTAGACCAATTTAAAAAACAGGACCCAAAATTAAAAATCTAAATACACGGTTAGATTTGGCATATCAAAGAACCCCAATAATTCAATTTTTGATGCAATCAAAAGAAGTTTAATTTTGGACCCTTTTGACCTCAATATGAACCAATTTGATAGCGGGGTCCACAAATAAAAAATCTAAATACATGGTTAGATTCAGCATATCAAAGAACCCCATATATTCAATTTTTGTTGAAATCAAACAAAGTTTAATTTTGGACCCCAATTAGGACCAACTTGAAAACTGGGCCAAAAATCAAAAATCTAAATACATGTTTAGATTCAGCATATCAAAGAACCCCATATATTCAATTTTTGTTAAAATCAAACAAAGTTTAATTTTGGACCCTTTGGACCTTAATGTAGACCAATTTGAAAACTGGACCCAAAATTAAAAATCTAAATACACGGTTAGATTCGGCATAACAAATAAATAAATGTGGTCAAAGATTTTACAAATCTAATGCGCCATACTGTGCAATTAAAGATTACTTCTTGAAATTTTTCAATATTTGAAATTTGAAAAAAAAATAATATTTGAAGAATAATTTATTTTTAATTTCTGAAATCTGAAATGAGAAAAAATTGACCCCCACAATTTCTTTTTACCCCCCCCCCCCCCTTTTTTCCCCAAAAAAATTCTTTCCCTCAAGATATGGTCATAATCTCAATTCAAATTTCCAATGGAGTTTGCAACCATAATTACCCATTTAAATATACCATAGTGCTAACTTAATCTATTTTATAATAGAATTTAAAATATAGTGTCAAATCTTTCATATGGATTTTTTTGTAAAAAAAAAGATGCAACATATGCAGATATTTTTACTGGTCTTCCTTTATAAATATGCATTTCTTTAAACATAATTTAAAAGCAGTGTAAGGGAAGTAACCAAAACGTTGTATTTGGATTACCTCCCTTACACTGTTTTAAATTATCTTAATTGTTCATTAACCATTACTTTATACATAATTTAAAAGCAGTGTAAGGGAGATAATTTCAATGATGTATTTGATTTATCTCCCTTACACTGCTTTAAATTATGTTTTGTACTAAAGTATTTGTCCATTAACCAGGACAACCTTGATTTTCCCCCTTTTTTGCCCCTAATTCCTAAACGGTTTGAGCCATAACCCCCCCAAAGCAAATCCTAACCATCCCTTTGTGGTATGGAAACTTGTAGTATAATTTCAGAGAGATCCATACACCGTTCCACAGTTATTGTCTGGAAACTAGAAAATGCTTATTTTTGGCCCCTTTTTGGCCCCTAATTCCTTAACTGTTGGTACCATAACCCCCAAAATCAATCCCCACCTTCCTTTTGTGGTATTGAACCTTATGGTAAAATTTCAAAGAGATCCATTCACTTAAACTAAAGTTAGAGTGCGAAAACCAATGTGTCTTTGGACGACGACGACGACGACAACGTCATACCAATATACGACCGCAAAAATTTTTTGCGGTCGTATAAAAAAGCAATGGTGATACAATCTTTTCAAGAAATGTAAAACTTAAGTAAATATTTTTGAAATAATTAAGTAGAGATGAAAATTACCAAAATCCCTGTATCCAAGGGAGACTATAATTATAACATTCATGGTTTCAGGATTGTGGGTAAATTCATTGTTTGAGCACTAAATGAAAATACCCAGAATGCATTAGATTCAGGAACTAACATTATTTACCTTATAATATATGAAAATAGTAATATATTCAGAAAAGACTAAAAGATCACAGGACATACACTAATAGTTATAATTCTCTAAACTATATGTATAATATACACAAATATCTTAACCCTAAGATAAAAATATAATTTATTGAGTATTCTTATTTTCTCAAAATATCATTAGGAGTTAGCTACATGTATATGTAAAACTCGGTAAAACATGCAAGTCTGAAAAAGACCAATTTTACAATATTTATTGGTTATCAAAATATGCTGACAGTGAATATCAGTTAAAATAGTTAACTTTTTACAAACAAACTAATAAATCAGAAAAGATTATGAATTTTACTGGTTTACTTATCATGCTTATAAATAGGATTCATATCAATAACCCTATCATTTTTAATAAATTAATTTTTAAAGGTCGTACAAATTTTAATGTATTGATATTTTTTTTTTTTTACAAAATGGCTGGCCTCTTCAGACTTGCATTGCTTTGTAATGAACTACCTTACTTAGTTTTATTTTGATTTATTTGTAAGATTTATACAATTTAAAATTTATTGCATGTTTAAATTACAAAAAGACAATATAAACAAAGATACATAAATTATTGCACCAAAGAGAGCACTACGAGTAAAACAGGATAACAAAAATAATGCACAAAGATATTTGCTTTCCAAAAAACATTAGGTCACTCTTTTGTAAATGTTATCTGACAAAGATGACACTGTAGAGTTAAAGTTATGGTGAATTATAATATTTTTTTTCAAAAAGATATCACAAAAAAATAAAAATGGAGAGATTTTACAAACATGAATGAGAGATCTTTTAAGGTAAAACTTTACCATTGTTTAAATAAGGGGCAAAAGAACAAGATAAAATTGAGAATGTAAATGGGGAATGTGTCAAAGAGACAACAACCTGACCAAAGAGCAGAAAACAGCCCAAGGCCACCAATGGGTCTCGTGTTCAATTGGAAAACAAAGCCTTTGCATCATAAATGATTTATCTATTGGCCTTTACTATTGCATTTGGTCAATTCTATTCAGATCTCTATAAGAGCTATTTAAAGAAACCCACATCTACTGAAACCAAATTTACTCCAGTTAAACTAGGATAAAGTCATTTGAATCATGCTGTTTGATTTGAACATTTTTTTCCTGCAAGACAAAATAATTCCGAAGCTCCTGTAACAATCAATTTAATTAAAATCTGATCTTTCAATCTGCTCTGTTAGATTGTCTGGTCACCACAGTGTAAAATCTGAAAATATCCCATGAGGGGTCATGTTTAAATGACCTTATATGCAATTTTTCATCCCCAAATCATTTTGAGTGACATGTTGGCACTTTGATTACATATTTTAACCACATAACATACATTAACAACAATTGAAATTTTATTGGTATATTGATCTGCAACAAACTAATCTAATTGAGCAGAGTGAAAGATCAGAATTGCAGTAACAAAATACATGAAACTGGCCACTTGGCGAAAAATTTATCAACAATATAATGGTTTTGGGTGACAAATCATCACATGTAGCTTCTGATAACTAATGTATTTAGATTAATTAAAGCCATGTTGGAAGCTTCTGAAGTCAAGAATAAAACATATGGTCTTAAAGTTCCTTGATATAGAACGAAAATTTTAATAAATTCATAAAGACATCAATTAAACAACATGATTTAGTGATGAAACATTTGTTCTCTTAATATAATCGATGACTTATTCTAGAAAAGATCTCTTAATACCACATTCTGCATGAACTGGACATAATTAAGATGCTTAAATTTTTTTTGTCCCATAAATATGACAACGGTCTTTCATAAATGTGATTTACAATTACATTTCATGATACAGGTTTCGCAATGCATGATGTTGCAATTTACAAATAATGATTGTGATAATAGTACACTTGATGGAATTGTGCTTTTTACAAATTTACATGTAAATGTGTTTTACACTTATAAGGCTAGAAAAGACACCAATCAAGTTGTCAAATATGTATACTGTAAATTCAGAAATTATTGCGATTGTTAAAAAATGGACATAAATGCGAGTTTAATTATTGCGATTTCAGGAAAATCTGCATAAAGATATATGTTTCAGATATCAAAATGCGAGTTCTTATTATTGCGATACTCACCCAGTCGCATTATTCGCATTAATAAAAACCTCGCAATAATTTCTGAATTTACAGTAATCAATGGGTCAAAATCATTTTTTCATAAATAAGATTTCATACATGGACCATCTGAAGCAAGTTGGCTACTTTGCAACATGGTTCACTGAAAACTTTAGACATTGAATTTTGCTTTATATACTTATAAAAAAACATTCTTGTATGAATTTTCACCCATGCAAAATTCATATTTTTTTAAACTCTTTTTTAACAACAAAAAGTGACAAAAAAGTTAATTTTCATAGCGATTTCTGCTTAACTAATTTTCTTTGGCCCATTCTGTATTGAAAAGAATAAAACTGTCCCTACAAATTCCTCAAAATTTACACACTAACAAAATAATTCTATTTTCTCAAAAAAGTCCTATTCATATTCATTTTAAGTTTGCATGTACGAAACCAATATTTATGTAAAAATGTTTTGACCTTTGACAGATAAATTAACATAGATGTAAACTTTTTAAATTTCAAAGTGAGAGATCCTCATTTAAGGATTTTTTATTGGAAAATTTGCCCTAAATCTAAATTATGTTGATTTTTCTATAATATAAAATCTTACTTTTAGGAGTTAAAACTTTTGATGTTTAATCAATTCTTTCAATCAATGTTGAAATATATTCAATCTTTTATGAATTAATTACCAAAATCAGGATGTAACAATTTGTAGCTATTTTGAATGAAAGAAACAATTACCATGCATACATTGTATGTGTCAAATAACAGTGAAAGTAAAAGAAACTTGCCAATCTTACATGAAACTTGCAGAGCTTGGTTCAAAGGGGCAGACTTGAACCTCCCCTCAGGAGAATTATCTTCAGAGGATTTTCTTTAAATTTTCAAGAAATCATTGGAAAATCGCACACATGAGATTCAGAGAGTTTACACCTATGTATGAAAATGGATTATGCATATTATGAATGAAGTAATATGTATGTTTCATTAAACTGTTGACAAGTAATGTACAAAGCTACACGATTGTCCATTCTGAATGGAACTTGGATGACATTGTAGTTTTACATAAAGCACACATATTTAAATACATGTTACATTCAAAAATGTTTCATAGTACATCATTTTAATATAGTACAGTAACTTTGTTACACATTTCGCTTTAAGCTGGTTTTATTTCCACTTTTTTGGCATGTATTTAGTGGAACGTCATGATTGTATATCATAAAAATAATGCAAAGTTGCCAAAAATACATTTTAAGGTAGATCATAAGTATATATTTTTTGAAATAGAATTTTCTTATACTTAGCCAGAATGAAGATTTTACTATGCTTTTTTCAAAAATATAATAAAAAGTATGGGTCACCGTGCTATTTTTCAAGCTATGAGTCGTTGAAAATTGCCTTAATTTGGTTAGATTGTTCATGAAAAAACACATTTGTGTGCATAAAAAAAATTCTATGAGATAGAATTTTGAAATAAATTGTGAAAAGATAGGTTTTATAATATGTTTTAAGAAAATAAAAAGAAAAAATGGTGTCACTGAACTTGTTTTCTTGCTACAAGTAAAAATTAAAATTTTCCCTATCAGTCTAGTATAATTTTTTACTAAAAGAGTTATCTCTCCTTAAATGGTTCATTTGAGAAAAATGATTCTAAAATCAAAAAAAATGATATTTGTTTAAATATTTTGTATAATACAATAATTCACTAAGTTTTCTTTATATAAATAAACAGTCTAACCATTAAATTGCAAATCTGTCTCCAATTTGCAGATTTAGGCAAATAACTAGACCCATTTTGTACTGCGATTGTACAATCCAAGATGGCGGTATACAATGAATCTACCTTAAGTGGCATATTTTTATTGTTTAACTCTTTCAACTATTTCGAAAATAACTTGGTATACTTTCAATTAGTTGTATGTAATTGACTTTGAGACAATGTACCAACGTATAAAATTAAGATATCAGCTATTTCCCTCCAAACGAAATAGAATGTATCCAGATGTTTGTACAAAAGGTACTTGATTGTTGAAAATTTTAGCATACTTATCATAAAATAATGAAAATTTCCAAAAACATCAATTCAAAGTTTTAATCTTTGAGATCAGAAAGCCCAAAAATCTATTTTTAACAACTTTGCATATAATAGTTTGTCTATGACATTAACAACATACATTTGGTGACAATTTGCACTACGTTGGTATGTTGGTGGTATAATTCTACTCCATTCAATAAAATGCTCTCAGAAAATATAAAAACACATTAAAATTCTTGTAAAAGATTTCATTTAGAGTCCGAGATGACTTGTGCTGCTGTTTGTGTTTAAACACAAAAAATATATAAAATCCAATTGCTAATTTTCCATATTCAATATGGTTCAAACAAGTCACTGACTTAAGAATTATCATTCAAATCTTAGATCGAAAATGAATTTTTTTTATTCAAGTTTTTAAGATCCTTCGTGATGTGGAAAATATTGCCATTTCACTTCTATGCCTCTATTTAAAATATGATAAGTCATTAATATGTTTAAATCTGTTATCCTAATGCTAGCAATTTAAAGGTTTGGTTGGCTTGCTTGCTTTGTTTGTATAAATGTATGCTGAAGCATTGTAATTAAGCAATCAATAGATAGGCAGGACTTCAGCTTGTTTACATTATACAAAACACCCAATAACATTTAAGTATCAATAATGTATACAAGCTGAAGCCCCGCCTATCTATTGATTGCAGATGTCAATTTTAATTACAATGCTTGTGCAAACAGTTATACAAACAAAGCAAGCAAGCCAACCAAACCTTTAAATTGCTAGCATTAGGATAACAGCTTTAAGAAACAGCCCCATACTAAGTTATATTATTATTGGTCATTTTGTATGAGAATAAGGCATTTAAATGTAACTGTTAATAAAAGTTTGCAATTTGTAACATTAGGTCACAGTGACCTGTTTTTTGTAAAGAATTTGAAGCGCTCACCCAAATGCAACCCTACACAAGTTGAATGATTGTAGGTTTAGACAGTATTAATAAAAATTCTTAATTAAACAAGTCAATCTTTTATTTTTTGGTGATCTTATTTTGCTTCTAAATTTAAAAAATTAAAAAAAATCTTGAGCAAAAACAGTGACTTTGGATTTGAATGATAATTCTAAAATCAATCAGATAGGATTAAAAGCAACAAAGTGATATTATATGCCAACATTCAAAATTGATAAGATCACAAATTAGTAAATTCTTATTTTGCTTCACAAATCAGTCAAACAAATGTTCATAAGTTTTAGTGTTTAGTTTATTCCAGGAATAATAGTCTATTTGACAATTCCCATAAATGACCCTGTAATTAAAAGATTCCTTTTTCAGTTGTCTCCCTTTTTAGGAGAAACATTAATTTTCATTGACAATGGACCAGAAAGAAAAAAAATATATGTGTTTTATGTGTGTAACCTTTAAGTTTTTCAAATCTTTTAATTTACACTTAATTTTGTGTTAAGCGAAAAACTTTTGATACCAGTAGTTATTTTGCACTAAAAATTGGTTAAAATGTTGATATATCATTATCAACTTATCATGCTTTGCATGGGCAGAAGCCAATTTTGTCTAGTATAGAACCAGTCTACAATTGACAAAGGAAAGCAAGCTGTGTTAAAAGTGTGTATATAATAAAAGAATCAAATCGGTAGTTGGCAAATGGACTATTGAAGATAAATTTATCATTCTCATGGAAATCAGAAAAAAATATAATCACCGATTTTATTATGTTTTCAATTTACGAAAAGAGAAAATTACAATTTTCAATGTTGGTAAGTTTGCTGCCTCTCTAAGAAAAAAATGAATTTAACATGTCCAAGGCTAAATGTATTTCTTGACACCAATGGCTGCCGTTCATGAATGTAACATTAAAGTTTATACAAAATTCAAGATCTTGGTTCAAATTATGTCCTTTTCAAAATTTTACTTCCGACAACAAATACTGACCACTTGTTTTTCAGGTGTGAATATACAATAAATAAACAGGAAATATTTTTCTTTAAAACTATTCGCTTCATTTCAAATTATTTATTTGTATATCAGTTGCTTAACATCTTAAATAATGAACAAATCTTCACTTAAAAGTGTTTCCCCTCTCAAAAAATAAATTAAATGCTTTCTTCACATTTCAAGGAACAATAATTTTAACACCACAAGATTTCTCTATTTATAATAAATTATGACATCAAAAATTGATTTTTCCGTACATCTAACTCATGGCTCTTAACTGAAATACCATAGAATTTTATGTGATTATACAAGAACTAATACATAATATTGACTTTCATAGTTAACATTTAGAGATGATGTTCTTTTTTTTTCTCAAACTAAGTAATAAATACAAAAAACACCAAATACAAAAACACTTTTGACACTTTTCTTAAAGAAGACATTTAGTATAACTTATAAGCTTAAAGATATAAAGTATAAAATTATTCCTTAAATGAAAATGCCTAAAAAGGTCATTGTCTCATATAAGCTATTTTCCTTCTGCAGAAAAAAGGGATTTAAGCTTATAAGGGAATCATGGTTATGACTCTCATTACCAGTTTTTTTTTAAATATTAGCTTTTCAAAAAGCTTTAATTGGTGCAGGTTCATTACTATTTGAGAAATTTACTTATGCCTTTATCATAAAAGTATCATAAACCATCAAATTGACAAATGGATGGGTAGGCATCTAACAAACGAAAATTGTCTAAAATTTGGCTTGTAAATGCTTTTTCAACCATGTTTACTGGAAATATATTAATTACAGAATAATACACAATTATCTAATGTCCAATTTTCATCATAAATTAATACATATAAAATTTACAAATTTTTAAATAAATAATAAATATTGCACCTTTTGAATTTACATTTAAAGCTTTCATTTTAAATCTCTGCTTTAATAAAAAGTCCTTTCTTCTGCCTTTTAGCACATACATGTCATTTATTACAACTATGTCTGCTTTAAGTAAAATCTTATTGAAAATAATTCTGAAAAAGCATAAAAGCACAGCTTTGAAAAAATCTTAAGCATTTTATTTTTGTATCTATAGGACATAAAAACATTCTTCAAAAATCATACTAGTTACAATTATTCAAACTCCTCTAAATTAAATGATTGCATGAGATCGTCATTTCAAAAAAATTCTTACAAATACTGACTGAAAAACAACACAATTTTTTAAACTCTTGCCAAATGTTGATATATTTGAATGTGATGAGCCTTGATGATTAAGGTGATTTGGAAGACTTTTTCAACCTCTTCTCCAAAAAAAATTCTGTCCTCTGATATTTTCTTTAATAACTCTCTATCCTTTTGACTATTCTGATAAGTTTGTAACTCTCTATCCCATAGACTTTTCTGTTGAGCTTGAAGAATCTGTAAAAATAAACATAATCATTTCAATAGTTAATTGAAGAAAAAATAAATGATATATGTTACTGTAAATTAAACAAGTGAAACTGCGAGCTACTGCTCACTGATGATACCCCCGCCCAAATATTTCTGTAAACAGGAAGTTGTTGAGTGATGAATCTGAAAACGCATCACACGGTATAGATGACTTATATAAACCCTGAAACCAAATTTCAGAAATCCTTGTATTGTAGTTCCTGAGAAAAATGTGATGAAATTTTTCAACTTTGCTATCATGTGTAAAATGATACAAGTGTTTGGTAAACAGGAAGTTGTTGTGTGATGAATCTGAAAACGCATCACACGGTACGGACGGATGGATGAACTGACGGATGGACGGACAGACAGAGGTAAAACAGTATACACCCACTTTTTTAAAGCGGGGGTATAATAAAAACAGTATTCCCACACTTTTTTAAAGCGGGGGTATAAACATTTTTATTTATGCAGATAATGCGACTGTATGAGAATCACGTTATTAGGAACTCGCATTCAGAATCCTATACATATATTTGTGTGCACAATTTTATGAAATTGACATTAAAAATCGTGCATTTTTATCCATTCTACAACAATTGCAATAATAAATGGACACAATAAATTCTGAATTTACAGTATTCCTTTTATGTGTAATATGTACAAAATCAGGACAATGTAAAATCGGCAAGATTTAGAGCCTGACATATTGTATGGACACACATCTGTTGTTGAAGACAGTATGTTGTCCTCTAAATGTCTTTTAGTTATGTTTGTCATCGGGTTGCTGTCTTATTGACATATACCCCACATCTTGTTTTATTCATATACAGTAAGTCATATACTTATATGAATAAAACAAGATGTCAGGTATAAAGATGTAAAAAGAATCAGATGAAGGGCATATGAAATATTTTTTTTAACATTTATTCTTTAGCATATTTAATATAAGATCAAGCTTTTAAAGTGGGTCTCATTGGGGTCTAAGCGTGATGTTGGATTGGCTGATTTTTTGTAAGCGTGACATGTGAAAGTCAAATCATTGAGCGTGAAAACGGGTAAGGGTTTTGTCAAGCAGGACAAGTGAAATTACAAGTGTTATTATTACAATGATAAGCGGGATTCAGGAATCTGCCAAAACAATAAGCGGGATCCGGGATCAGACCCCCAAATGAGACCCCCTTTGAAGAAATGTCTTTATATATTAAATTTTGACAAATAAAACAAAATTAAAGGCACAAAAAACACTGTGTATTCCAATATTTATGTCTTTCAATATAAACGTCAACGAATACATTTTACTTTATTTCTCATAAAACTACAACTACATAGCTATAGAGAACATATCAACATAACTATAAGGTACAATTATAACATACATCAACAGATGGTTCATCCTGAATATGCATGAAATATTTGACATCAGATATTAAGTGAACATCAATCATTGAATTATATAGTAAATGTACAGATTAATACCATAATCTATTTTTTCATAATAAGTATTCAGATATACCTTTATTTTCCTCTTCCATTGATAAACTTCTTGATAAAGTTCTTTTTCTGGAACTACCACTACCTGTGCTTGATGATCCCTGAAAAAGGATACAGTTTACCGGTAATTAATTAAGGTACCTCAAAACAACTTTAATGAAAAATAATCAAATTATACTGCAATTTCACAACAATTAATAGTTGGGGCAAGTATGGACACAACATTCAAGCTTGATACACACTGAACTTGGATTGTGATTAAATATTTGACACAGCATAGGTTTCTGACACAGAATGAATGTGGTCTAAGAACTTATAAATTTTTAATTTACCTATTCAAACCATATCATTATTATTTGCTTTTATATATAAATCAGAAATAACCAATTTAAAATGGAAAATTTTAAAGAAAAAAAAAGGAAAAGAAGGGAAAAAAAAAAAAATCCCTCCCCCCAAATTTTTTGAACCCCCTTATGATTCATCACCCCAAAACTCAATCCCAGCCTTCCCTTTGTGATATGGTACCTTGCAGTACAATTTCAGAGAGATCCATACACTTGAACACAAGTTATTGTCTGGAAACTGGAAAAATGCTTGTTTTTTGGCCCCTTTTTGGCCCCAAATTCCTAAATGTTTAGGGCAATAACCCCCAAACTCAAACCCAGCTTTCCCTTTGTGATATGGAACCTTGTAGTACAATTTCAGAAAGATCTATACACTTACACACAAGTTATTGTCCTGAAACTAGAAAAATGCTTGTTTTTTGCCCCTTTTTTGCCCCTAATTCCTAAAATATTGAGGCAATTACCCCCATCATCAATCCCAGCATTCCCTTTGTGATATGGAACCTTGTAGTACAATTTCAGAGAGATCCATACACTTGAACACAAGTTATTGTTTGGAAACTAGAAAACTGCTTATTTTTGGCCCCTTTTTGGCCCCTAATTCCTAAAATTTTGAGGCAATTACCCCCAAAATCAATCCCAGCATTCCCTTTGTGATATGGAACCTTGTGGTACAATGTCAGAGAGATCCATACACTTACACACAAGTTATTGTCTGGAAGTTACAAAAATTCTTATTTTTGGCCCCTAATTCCTTAACTGTCGGTACCATAACCCCCAAAATCAATCCCAACCTTCCTTTTGTGGTATTGAACCTTATGATAGAATTTCATAGAGATCCATTGACTTAAACTAAAGTTAGAGGGCGAAAACCAATGTGTCTTCGGACGACGAAGACATCATACCAATATACGACAAATTTTTTTTGCGGTCGTATAAAAAGGAGAATAGTCTATAATGAACATTTAAATATATGGAAAAATAAGGATCTTCCTAATTTTGCATAGATTTCAAAAAACTTCATATAAAAATGAACATGCATGCATAAATGGTACTTGCACAGTGGAGGTTTTTTTTGTGTTTACTTTTACAATTTATGGTCTTGATAGGCAAAGGTTGAGGTCTTTGCACACGTAAATGGTTTTACCCTACCAAATTTTGTGCCTATACCAAGTCTAGCTATCTTAACCATGTGTTATTTTTTTGTCTTTGTATATTATATACTTTTTCAAAGGAGTCTCATGTGTTGTAAGGTAGTGTGGTCTGTTGAACTGTCCAATAATTTTGATAATTCCTATCATCCCTTTTTTCTTGATTACGGGTGAATTTATTTGACGGTAACAAAAATATTTGACTATGATAATTTGATTGAAAAAGAAAGATGAAATAATATGAAAACAATGTGCAAAAGGTTCTACTCTAAATCTCCTTCAAGAAAATTTTAACCTCGGAGGTTTTAAAAGTTGGAATTATATATATGTTTTTTTTTATATTTAATGATATAAAAATAAGAGTTCAATACCTCTTCCTTTCTTTCTAACAAAGGCATAACAACACTTGCTGCTGATCCTTCACTAACTGCTCCCTCACTTGTAGCCCCTTCACTTGCACCTCCCTCACTGATGGCCTCTTCACTACTCCCAGAAGACGGCCCCGCCACCATTGTTTCGTCAAACACTGGTTCAGGTGGAGGCAAAACCTCATGTGGTCTTGGAATGCTTATCAGTGGGTTTGAAGGAGTTATTGATTCCTGAGTCTCATTCATAATGGAATTAGCATCAAGTGTACTAAGAGGATCAAATGAGATCTGCTCCCCTGTCTCGATAACAGCACACTCGACTGGTAGTTGTATTCCATCATTGCCTTCTGCTCTTCCAATGCTCGTATGAACTTCTTCATTACTTTGTGAGGTATATGTTATTGCATTTTGCCTCTGGGACAAATGGACGGATGGGTGTATGATATTATGACCTTCATCCTTTGGTCTTGCTCCAGTTTCAATACCATGCAGTGCAAGCTGTTGCCAATATGATACGTTTCCATTCTCCAAATCTTCCTGACTTTCCTGAGAAATGATTGGCAAGGACCTTACTCTACCATTACTATCTTTCCCATTGTCTAAGTCACCCTCCACAATGAATACATTTGGCGGCAACGTAGTTCTGTTACTTCTTCTCTGTTGATGTTGTTGGGAAGCATTTAATGGATCTGCCATGATACCCTCATCATCACAACTGTAAAATCCAGTGCTATCACTGAACAATGGATGAGACATTCCTATGCTATCACTGAACATAGGATGAGACATTCCAGTGCTATCACTGAACATAGGATGAGACATTCCAGTGCTATCACTGAACATAGGATGAGACATTCCAGTGCTATCACTGAACATAGGATGAGACATTCCAACGCTATCACTAAACATTGGATAGGAAATTCCTGATGGAACTGTTTTGAAGCTATCATCAGCACCTGCAGACGCCATATCATTTCCACTCTCTAGTTGTGAGTTACGAGGTGAACTCCTTCTTGAAAATGGTTCAACTATTAATAAATAAAACTGTACTATTATACTTTTCAAAAGCAAATATGGTTACTTATAACTTATACTTATACAGTGAGTATTGCTCAGTCTTTAGATTTTTTATGTATTGTTTTTGGACTTGTTTTTCATTTTGTTGTCTTCTTTATTTTTGCCATGGGGTTGATATTTTTCCCATCTAAATTTTGAGTTTTGAATGTCCCATGTTATCTTCCTTTTTTTATTTTTTTTTTATAAATTTGCATATGAAGATTGTTTTTTTTATTTCTTGTACATCAATGTTCATTTTGTTGTTGCAGTCTGAGACAACAAATCAAAATAATTCAAATGTTTAATAAAATGCTCCGTAGGGCGCAGCTTGATACGACCGCAGAGGTCAAACCCTGAACAGTGGGGGCAAGTATGGACACAACATTCAAGCTTGATACAGCTCTGAATTTGGATTGTGATTAAATATTTGACACAGCATAGGTTTCTGACACAGAATGAATGTGGTCTAAGAACTTAAAAATTTTAAATTGGACATTCACCTATTATGGTCCAATATCCAAAATCTAAATACATGGTTAGATTCAGCATATCAAAGAACCCCAAGAATTCAATTTTTGATGAAATCAAACAAAGTTTAATTTTGGACCCTTTTGACCTCAATGTGGACAAAGTTGATAACGGGGCCCAAAAATCAAAAATCTAAATACATGGTTAGATTCAGCATATCAAAGAACCCCATATATTCAATTTTTGTTGAAATCAAACAAAGTTTAATTTTGGACCCCGATTTGGACCAACTTGAAAACTGGGCCCATAATCAAAAATATAAATACATGTTTAGATTCAGCATATCAAAGAACCCTAAGAAATCAATTTTGTTATGGACACAACATTCAAGCTTGATACAGCTCTGAATTTGGATTATGATTAAATATTTGACACAGCATAGGTTTCTGACACAGAATGAATGTGGTCTAAGAACTTAAAAATTTTAAATTGGACATTCACCTATTATGGTCCAATATCCAAAATCTAAATACATGGTTAGATTCAGCATATCAAAGAACCCCAAGAATTTAATTTTTGATGAAATCAAACAAAGTTTAATTTTGGACCCTTTTGACCTCAATGTGGACAAAGTTGATAACGGGGCCCAAAAATCAAAAATCTAAATACATGGTTAGATTCAGCATATCAAAGAACCCCATATATTCAATTTTTGTTGAAATCAAACAAAGTTTAATTTTGGACCCCGATTTGGACCAACTTGAAAACTGGGCCCATAATCAAAAATCTAAATACATGTTTAGATTCAGCATATCAAAGAACCCTAAGAATTCAATTTTTGTTAAAATCAAACTAAGTTTAATTTTGGACCCTTTGGACCTTAATGTAGACCAATTAGAAAACGGAACCAAAAATTAAGAATCTAAATACACGGTTAGATTCGGCATATCAAAGAACCCCAATAATTCAATTTTTGATGAAATCAAACAAAGTTTAATTTTGGACCCTTTGGACCTCAAAGTGGACCAACTTGAAAACTGGGCCCATAATCAAAAATATAAATACATGTTTAGATTCAGCATATCAAAGAACCCTAAGAAATCAATTTTGTTATGGACACAACATTCAAGCTTGATACAGCTCTGAATTTGGATTATGATTAAATATTTGACACAGCATAGGTTTCTGACACAGAATGAATGTGGTCTAAGAACTTAAAAATTTTAAATTGGACATTCACCTTTTATGGTCTAATATCCAAAATCTAAATACATGGTTAGATTCAGCATATCAAAGAACCCCAAGAATTCAATTTTTGATGAAATCAAACAAAGTTTAATTTTGGACCCTTTTGACCTCAATGTGGACAAAGTAGATAACGGCGCCCAAAAATCAAAAATATAATTACATGGTTAGATTCAGCATATCAAAGAACCCCATATATTCAATTTTTGTTGAAATCAAACAAAGTTTAATTTTGGACCCCGATTTGGACCAACTTGAAAACTGGGCCCATAATCAAAAATCTAAATACATGTTTAGATTCAGCATATCAAAGAACCCTAAGAATTCAATTTTTGTTAAAATCAAACTAAGATTAATTTTGGACCCTTTGGACCTTAATGTAGACCAATTTGAAAACGGAACCAAAAATTAAGAATCTAAATACACGGTTAGATTCGGCATATCAAAGAATCCCAATAATTCAATTTTTGATGAAATCAAACAAAGTTTAATTTTGGACCCTTTGGACCTCAATGTGGACCAATTTAAAAACAGGGCCCAAAATCCAAAAGCTTAATACACGGTAAGATTCAACATATTAAAAAACCCCAAGAATTCAAGAATAAAACCCCATTGAAATTGGTCAAGAAATAAGCAATTTATACAAAGTATCTTCTTTTGCACAATACTGTGCAATAAAATATTTCTTGCTATTGCGCAATACTGTACAATTGACAATTTCTTGCTATTGCGCAATATTGTGCTATTGGATATTTCTTGCTATTGCGCAATACTGTGCAATTGAAGATTTCTTGCTATTGCGCAATACTGTGCAATTGAAAATTTCTTGCTATTGCACAATACTTATTATATAATAAATTACACATCCTGTTTGGTGTGTATCTCCTACCATATCATTATTATTTGCTTTTAAATATAAATCAGAAATAACCAACTTAAAATGGAAAATTTTAAAAGAAAAAAAAAAGGAAAAAAAAAAATCCCCCCCCAAATTTTTTGAACCCCCTTATGATTCATCACCCCCAAACTCAATCCCAGCCTTCCCTTTGTGGTATGGTACCTTGCAGTACAATTTCAGAGAGATCCATACACTTGAACACAAGTTATTGTCTGGAAACTTGAAAAATGTGTTTTTTGGCCCCTTTTTGGCCCCACATCCCTAAATGTTTAGGGCAATTACCCCCAAACTCAAACCCAGCTTTCCCTTTATGATATGGAACCTTGTAGTACAATTTCAGAAAGATCTATACACTTACACACAAGTTATTGTCCTGAAACTAGAAAAATGCTTGTTTTTTGCCCCTTTTTTGCCCCTAATTCCTAAAATATTGAGGCAATTACCCCCATCATCAATCCCAGCCTTCCCTTTGTGGTATGGTACCTTGCAGTACAATTTCAGAGAGATTCATACACTTGAACACAAGTTATTGTTTGGAAACTAGAAAAATGCTTATTTTTGGCCCCTTTTTGGCCCCCAATTCCTAAACGTTTATGGCAATTACCCCCATCATCAATCCCAGCTTTCCCTTTGTGATATGGAACCTTGTAGTACAATTTCAGAAATATCCAAACACTTACACACAAGTTATTGTCATGAAACTAGAACAAGAGTGCACACGCTGAAATGTCTCGCCTTCTTTACTAATCATTGATATTATGTTGATAGTCCTAAATATAAAGCTTTATTACAACTGTCACATAAACTTAACATTAACCAAGTAAACTAAACATTGACCAATGAACCATGAAAATGAGGTCAAGGTCAGATGAACCATGCTAGGCAGGCATGTACAGCTAACAATTCTTCCATACAACAAATATAGTTGACCTATTGCTTATAGTTTAAGAAAAACAGACGAAAACACAAAAACTTAACACTGAGCAATGAACCTTGAAAATGAGGTCAAGGTCAAATAAAACCTGCGTGACTGACATATAGATCATAAAATATTTCCATACACCAAATATATATAGATTTGAACTATTGCATATAGTATTAGAAAAAAAGACCAAAACTCAAAAACTTAACTTTGACCACTGAACCATGAAAATGAGGTCAAGGTAAGATGACACCTGCCAGCTAGACATGTACACCTTACAATCATTCCATACACCAAATATAGCTGACCTATTGCATGCAGTATTAGAAAGAAAGACCAAAACTCAAAAACTTAACTTTGACCACTGAACCATGAAAATGAGGTCAAGGTCAGATGACACCTGCCAGCTAGACATGTACACCTTACAATCATTCCATACACCAAATATAGTAGACCTATTGCATACAGTATAAGAAAAACAGACCAAAACACAAAAACTTAACTATAACCACTGAACCATGAAAATGAGGTCAAGGTCAGATGACACCTGCCAGTTGGACATGTACACCTTACAGTCCTTCCATACACCGAATATACTAGACCTATTGCTTATAGTATCTGAGATATGGACTTGACCACGAAAACTTAACCTTGTTCACTGATCCATGAAATGAGGTCGAGGTCAAGTGAAAACTGTCTGACGGGCATGAGGACCTTGCAAGGTACGCACATACCAAATATAGTTATCCTATTACTTATAATAAGAGAGAATTTAACATTACAAAAAATCTGAACTTTTTTTTCAAGTAGTCACTGAACCATGAAAATGAGGTCAAGGACATTGGACATGTGACTGACGGAAACTTCGTAACATGAGGCATCCATATACAAAGTATGAAGCATCCAGGTCTTCCATCTTCTAAAATATAAAGCTTTTAAGAAGTTAGCTAACGCCGCCGCCGCCGCCGCCGTAGCCGCCGCCGCCGCCGCCGCCGGATCGCTATCCCTATGTCGAGCTTTCTGCAACAAAAGTCGCAGGCTCGACAAAAATGCTTGTTTTTTGCCCCTTTTTTGGCCCCTTATTCCTAAAATTTTGAGGCAATTACCCCCAAAATCATTTACAGCATTCCCTTTGTGATATGGAACCTTGTGGTACAATGTCAGAGAGATCCATACACTTACACACAAGTTATTGTCTGGAAGTTACAAAAATGCTTATTTTTGGCCCCTAATTCCTTAACTGTCGGTACCATAACCCCCAAAATCAATCCCAACCTTCCTTTTGTGGTATTGAACCTTATGGTAAAATTTCATAGAGATCCATTCAATTAAACTAAAGTTAGAGTGCGAAAACTAATGTGTCTTTGGACGACGACGACGACAACGACGACGCCAACGTCATACCAATATACGACCGCAAAATTTTTGCGGTCGTATAAAAATCGTGTTTAAGACTATGCTTACCGAACTATAACATTCCAAGACACACTTGCATTTTTTTCAGAGCCAATAAAAATCTTTATATAACCATAGTTGAGCTCATTATTTTTTAGGAAACTGGATTTAAAAGGAGAAAAGAACCTCTAGTGGATAGTTGTCAGTGGCGGATCCAGAAATTTTCATAAGGGGGGGCCCACTGACTGCACTAGAGGGGGCCCGCTCCAGTCATGCTTCAGTGATTCCCTAAATAATCAACCAAATTAATCTCACAAAAGGGGGGGGGGGTGTGGGCCCACCCCCACCTAAATCTGCCTCTGGTTGTCACAGTGGCAATCATACCACATCTCCTTATTTTTATACTTATTGAAGAAAATTGAATATCTGGTGATTTTTGTGTAAGGAAGACCTATTTTACCTTTCAAAGTTGGTCTATCTGACTCTTTAGACGTAGCACCAAACAAATTTGATTTTTTAGGAGTAGATGGCAAGCTAAAACTTGTCTCCTGTGTATTTTTCTTCCTGAATTTGAGCCAATTCAGATCCACCGAGTACCCCTTTTTAGATTTATCCAGATATCCTCTCATTTTGTGGTATCTTTTTGGTGTTCTACTTCCACTTTTAGCTCTATTTTCATTTTCATTCATTCTCTTGACTTTGGTTATACTCAAATCTTTATCATCTGCAGGCAAATGTTTCTTGACTTTTGTAATGCTGTCTGCAGCATCGTCGCTGGGTGTTGCACTCATTAGCAAATCTTCACAGGACAATTGCTTTACATCTGTGGATTCTGAATCAAGTTCACCTTTACCTTGACCTTTATCATGACCTTTTTCATCATATCTTGCTTTTAAACTAGTTGAATCTATATCTGCTGCTTGATTTGTTTGTCTGGCATCTAGTTCATCCGAGACGGATTTGACCACTGTTTCTTCATCACCTTTCGGTTCTAAAGCTAATGTCTTTACACCAGTTTCGTTTTCATCCATTTCAACAATAACTTCTGTTATTCTATATTTAGCACATGTGGCTTCATGATCCTTAGATGAATTTGAGCTTGATTTGCTACTGTCCAAACTTGAGTCAATGTTTGTAATACTTGTAAGTTCATGATCTTCTTCACGAGAATTACGAGTAACAGAGTGTCCTCTATCACTTCCATTCTCAACTGGAGGGACAGGGGAATAGCGTCTACCAACTGAAAGTTTAAAATGCATACTTAAAATTATTTGGTAAATATTTAAATTAAAAATAACAAATTTTTTTTTTTTTCAAAATGAAAGTCCCTTTTATCTTATGAATATCACTTTCATTGTTTGAGAAATAGTTTCTGTTTCAAGAATAGCTTATAATCTCTTTGGTTTAAAATTTCCAATCAACATAAAAATCAAAGAATTGTTTATACATATACAGTCTCTAAATAGTAAATTTTTTAATTGAAATAATTTTCACTTATTTGCTTTCATAAGAAATCAAAAATGCTAATAGCTAGGTTTTTACATTGAAATACTACACCAATAAAAAAGTTCCATAAAATAGTTGTGGGTGAAACTTTTCATAACCTCAACATTACAATACATGCTGCAAAGGTTTTTGTTTTTACATATACAATATTCGTACAGTGGAGGAAAATATAAAATTTATTTGACAAGCTTTAGATACAGAGTTCTCCTGTTTCGTAGAGAGTACAAATATATTTTATATTTTCCTACACTGTGTTAATATTGTTTAAATCCTGCAATTTAACATTGAACTTAAACATATATTTTGTTTCCATCCAAATTGTTGAATTTGTTTTTAAATGAAACTGACATGACTAAAATGCAGACCGCTATCAGGACCCCCAAATTGAACTGGGTGCATAATTTACTAAATGGTATGTAAACAGTAATTTGAACATAATCAGTCGTTCACAACAGAAGCGGGATACCAGGAGACTATAAACACATATATACGTTTATTGCTTCATGTTATCTGTCAACTTTTATTGGTATAGTAGAGAGGTCCATTGCAGGATAAAATAATACTGGTAATTGCTAACAATCATTTGAAATTATAAGTGTAAACATGTATCTATTTTACTAACCTTTAAACAACTTAAGAAAAGTAGCACAGCACCATTTCTTTCTGAACACATAAATCAATATGGCCGACGCGGACAAGATAAGCAGGGATGAAAGTATTACACCTATCAACCTGCAATAAAAACATGTATTACAAACTCTTTTAAATATTCACAAATAAGACATCTCTTTTTTTTAACAATATATAAATAATTGTTGATCTTTGCACCTCTTAATACCATTCATAGCAATCTTGACAAAGCACATTTGTTCTAAACACATGTATGTGTAAAAAGTAAGATATTGACACATACAATAGAGCCCAAAAGCATGACACCAATAATAACATCATGGCATCCAGCTAATGCTAGTCCACTGTGGCCTCTTTAATTTCTTTTGTATCAAAAGGAGTTTAAAAGTTATTCTTCATATAGAGTTTGCATGTGTTTTAAAACTTTAAAATTTTCATGTCTTCGTTTTGTCACTTTTAAAGAATTGTTAATAAATATATTTATATAATTACCAGATATACATATGGTGTAATCCATCACCATCTCCCCCTAGTCTGGTACCATTGGCTCCTGAAATTTAACATGTTTTAAATACAAACTTAGGAAATCCAAACATGCCTTCAAACCTTATATGTCTACATTCACAATTGCTGTCAATTAAGAAGTTGATTGCTCTTCGAATTTACAGTTGATTTCCTAATACATGCAGAGTAAGAGTTTGGTTGGTTTGATTGCCTTGCTTGCTTTCTTTGTATTTATGTTTGCTCAAGCATTGTAATTAAGATTGACATCTGCAAACAATATAAGTAGGCAGAGTTAAACCTGTATATAGGTAAATTTGATTCTTTAATAGTGTCCAATCGAATTTAAGTATGATTTATACAAGTTTAACTCTGCCTTTATGTTTTGTTTTCAGATGTCAATCTTAATTACAATGCTTGAGCAAACATTAATACAAACAAAGCAAGCAAGCCAACCAAACCTATAACTTGCTAGCATTATAATAACAGCTGCAATCATAACAAGAACTCCCGTCAGTTAAGGATCACATTTATTGATTTTCTATGATCATTTGCATTTGGTGGCTTAAGTGGTTTAGGAAGTATGATAGCTCACAGTTCTTGACTAACAAAAGAAACAAATGTCAGTGTTCAATTAACCTTAACCAATCATTACTGAAAAAATCTTTATCTAGTCTACAGTGTTTAAGTTATGTATGTGGAACGTCTTTGACTATTCTGCGAGAACAATTTCAGTCAAGTTTTGATGATTCTTAGTGAAATTCTACTAACCATGATCAGTCTGATCTGTGGTGGGTGGGGGAGTGGGAGGAGGACCGTCCTTGGCTGTTCTTGGGCGACACTTCCTATCTGCCTTAGATGATCCTGGATGAGCCTCTACTTGATGACGTGTACACCTAAATTTAAAAAACAATATAATTATACTGATTTCAATACACAATTACATTATATTGTTCAGTGAACCACAAAATATGGGTCAAAACGCTTATTTCGCATGTATTTTAGAAAGTTCATATGATAATGAAATGTGTACTGAGTTTCAAGTTTATGTGACTACAATTTATAGTGAACTACCTTTACCCAAACCTGTACACGACGTGTGCCACATTTGGAGCAGGATCTGATTACCCTTCCGGAGCACCTGAGATCACCCCCAGTTTTTGGTGGGGTTCGTGTTGCTTAGTCTTTAGTTTTCTATGTTGTGTTTTGTGTACTATTGTTTGTCTGTTTGTCCTTTTTAGCCATGGTGTTGTCAGTTTATTTTCGATTCATGAGTTTGAATGTACCTCTGGTATCTTTCGCCTCTCTTGTACTGATAAGGGACAGATTAACAGAACAGATGGATGCACAGACCGGTAAACAAAATGTCTCCATAAAATTAAAGGCACAGCAAAAAAATGAACTTGTAGCCATGTTCAATCATGTTTAACATTTAAATGAAATTAACAATTAAAATGAATTGAGAATATTCATAAGGAATTTTATTTTTTATAACCAATATTAGTCGTTCTAAGTATAAATTGATAAAGTAGTTGTAGACACAAAGATGAAAATGTGCTATCCAATAGGTTTCAATAGGAATTCATGTGCAACCTTTGTCATCAGATCATATGACCGGAATATATCATTCCTGCCAAGGGTTGGTTTAGATTTGCTATTGGAGTCAGAGAAGGTTAGTAAATGGGCTGTGAATTTGTGATTATTAAATATTGATAATTTTAAAAATAAGAAGATGTGGTATGATTGCCAATGAGACAACTTTCACCAGATAATATTTTTATTTATTTGTGTTTCCACTGTCTGTATCACTCTGCTCAGCTCTTCATTTCAATTGTATTACAGGGCTTTGTGACGTCAAATATGTTTATCCAGCCTAAATAACTTTGACCTGGACATAACAACTATATCATAATAAATGGACAGACATTGATAAGTTTAATCCAAACTTATCAAGTTATCTACCAGTTTGCTGATGAAACAGAGAAAAACCTTTGTTTCCATTATGCAAAATACACAAATACAATCTGATAAATCAATTATCAGATTTTCATCATATTTATATTGTAAAATATCAGCTGCTTGACACAACATGAAGCCTTTTTAAACTCGTTCGCTACCCTCACTCGACAAAAAGCTTCAAATTGTGACTCACAGCTGATATTTTACAATATCAATAAGCAGACACCCTGATAATCGGTACATGTATGTAAGGCCATATGAGTAGAAATGGATAAATGGTATTTAGAGGATTTAATAGCTCCATGAACATTAAAATTAAGCTATTTATAAAAAAATTTTGACTTTCAAACTAACAGAGTAATTAGAGCTATTTTCATAATCCTTGTAATTAAAAGGTTTGATTGGCTTGCTTGCTTTGCTTGCTTTGTTTGTATAAATGTTTGCTCAAGCATTGTTATTAAGATTGACATCTGCAATCAAAAGATAGGTGGGGCTTCAGCTTGTATACATTATACTCTGTATTGTATTTAACATCCAATAACATTTAAGTATAATGTATACAAGCTGAAGTGCCACCTATCTATTGATTGCAGATGTCAATCTTAATTACAATGCTTCAGCAAACATTTAAACAAACAAAGCAAGCAAGCCAACCAAACCTTGAAACTACAAGCATTAGGAAAATAGCTCTAATAAGTTTATAAATCTTACACCAAAAATATGTAAAACATCATCAAACCATATGTTTTATACATTGTTTCCAGTCCAATTAATCTATGTTTAAACAACTGTTTCTTTTTGCAGTTAAAAAAAAAATACTGAAGTTCATAAAGGTCATTCAGAACTTTTTAAATACACGATGCCAGTCATTTTTAGGTCAAAATTTACTAAAAAGAAATTAAATCACTGGAATTGAAACTAGAGGCTCTCAAGAGCCTGTGTCGCTCACCTGTATTTACTGATGCTTTGGAAATCATGTAAAATAAGGTTAAAATCATAATTAATGGTATTAGATATTAGATATTATAATGATATCTAAGATAATAACAAAACATTGCAAAATTTTTGTAAAAAATTACTAACTCAAGGGCAGCAAAATTTCAGGGCAGATAAATCTAAATCTAATGAACATTTTTGCCACCTAACAGATTTGCTCTAAATGCTTTAGTTTCAGAGATATAAACCAAAAACTGCATTTTACCCCTATGTTCTATTTTTAACCAAGTCTGCCATGATGGTTAAAAGGCAGAGTAATCGGACAATTTTTTTAAACTAGATACCCTAATAATGATTATGGCCAAGTATGGTTAAATTTGTCTCAGTAGTTTCAGAGAAGAAGATTTTTGTAAAAGATTACAAAAATTTACAAAAAATTGACTATTCAGGGCAATAACTCCTAAAGGGGTCGACTGACAATTTTGGTCATGCCAACTTATTTGTAGATCTTACTTTGCTGAACATTATTGCTGTTTACAGTTTATCTCTATCTATAATAATATTCAAGATAATAACCAAAAACTGCAAAATTTCCTTAAAATTACCAATTCAGGGGCAGCAACCCAACAACAGGTTGTCAGATTTGTCTGAAAATTTCAGGGCAGATAGATCTTGACCTGATAATCAGTTTTACCCTATGTCAGATTTACTCTAAATGCTTTGGTTTCAAAGATATAAGCCAAAATCTACATTTTACCCCTATGTTCTATTTTTAGCCATCTTGGTTGGTTGGCGGGGTCATCGGACACATTTTTAAAACTAGATACCCTAATGATGATTGTGGCCAAGTGGTTTCAGAGAAGATTTTTGTAAAAAGCTAACGACGACGGACGACGACGATGACGCCGTCGACAACGACGACGGACGCCAAGTGATGAGAAAAGCTCACTTGGCCCGAAGTTTGTCAGAATACAATAAGTTCTACAACAATTTCACCCTAAAACAGGCCATCTACAGACCCCTCAGAGAGTTGTTGCAAAGGTTCTAAACTGTTCAGAGAGCATATGGCACTCACCCTACATGGGGTTTATCAGTTGTCTGCAATTCTTAGGTATTCTAGTATTAAGTAAGATCAAAATGCATGTTAATTTTATTGGAAATAAGGCTTTTAAGGAATCTGCACAATATTTAAAATCATGCTGATATTCAAAAATATTTAAATTTGGACTACACTATATCAATGAACGTAGATATCTAAATTAAACAGTTTCTACCACACCAACAAGTGGGATACAACATTTTTTCAATTGAGACAGATAATCTAAATTTACATCTGCACAGAATTAGAGAAACAATCATTTTACCTAAATATACTAATTATATGGCGTTTCTGAGGTTTCCTTGCGGAAATCCAAAGTAAACAGAAATTGTGTTCAATATAAATTTTGCATTTACATCTTTTAGTTATCACATGATCAATTAAAGTAAAGGAGATGATAGGTGGATTGGAGCTTAAAGTCAAGACAAATATAGTACATGTATATTGAGACAAACACATGTTGATGTGACATTATTATGAACTCTTTCAAACATGCTTGTTCACAAGTTAACAGTCCTCAGGAAACATATGTCAGCAAACCTGGACATATTTTTCTAATTCCATTTAATAGCTATCATTCTTTGCCTCAAATTTGCATGCAAGCTTATAATACAAATTTTCAAGTCTTTGATTTGATCCGTAACTTGAGATTGAACCCATGACCTACTGCACATGAGATTAGCGAGACTGTTATTCTAGTAAAGAATTTTGTTTAATTTTTGAGTTTATTTGTTGGAGTGTATTGCAAAAATGTAACTAACTTACTTAGTTAAAAAAAATGTATGCTAAAAATTGGTCCCCATATATTAAGCAACAAACTTACTTATTTTCCGGTAAATTTTGCATGCATAATATAGAATTCCTCACTTTTATAAAAATATTTTAACCTTTGAAGAGAGAGAGAGCCTAATGTTCTTCATATTCTTGTTGATCAAAGACATATATAATAGCTAGAATATGATGCTAAAAATGTTTCCAATACCATTGTTGCCATACAAGTTAAAACCCAGTTTTTCTCCAACAATGTATTGTTATAGGCCAGACACAGACTTATAATAAGGGAAAACAAAAAAATCAATTTAAAAAATCAACTGTCAACAAAATCAATTTTCTCTTATTCTTTAAGGATGTAGAAATTATATCATAAATTTTTCAATATATTTTTTTATCAAAAACTGTTATTTGTGTACAAACAATATTCACAAGAAAGACTTATGAAATCCCGTCCACATGCCTGTTTTCAAGGATTTATTAACATTATGTAATAAAGTTGTCAATCTCAGGTATTATTTCGTTTCTATCATCTCTTATTAGCAGAGCTACATGCTATCTCCTTGCAGAAGGTAATTTATTCTTAAATAGAGATTTACATGTCTTGTTATAGGTTAGTAATATGTTAGCTAATAAGCTTGGTGTTATTTTGTATATTGGCAGAAGAAACTAATCGTTTAAGCAAGCTGTATAAGGTTATTTTAGTATATATATATCAGTTATCTCCCCTATAAACCAAACTTACCCAACACATATCAGTTATCTCCCCTATAAACCAAACTTACCCAACACTTGCTAAAGTTATTAATATGTTAATCAATAATCCTGGTGTCATTTTCTATATTGCCAGAAGAAATTAATTGATTGCAAGCTGTAAAAGGTTATTTTAGTGTAGATATGAGTTAGCTCCCCTATAAACCTAACTTACCAACAGTATAACCCATTTTATCTACTAACTGAAAAGACAGGTTAAACAGAAATAAAACATTAAATCAGAAAAATTTCAAAGAAAAAAAAAGACTCAATATTTAAGGTACACATTTAAATCTATAAAAAAATGCTCTGCTGGGCGCAGCTTGATACGACCCCAGAGGTCGAACCCTGAACAGTTGGGGCAAGTATGGACACAACATTCAAGCTTGATACAGCTCTGAATTTGGATTGTGATTAAATATTTGACACAGCATAGGTTTCTGACACAGAATGAATGTGGTCTAAGAACTTAATTTTTTTCAATTTACCTAGTATGGTCCAATATCCAAAATCTAAATACATGGTTAGATTCAGCATATCAACGAATCCAAAGAATTCAATTTTTGATAAAATCAAACAAAGTTTAATTTTGGACCCTTTTGACCTCAATATGAACCAATTTGATAACGGGGCCCAAAAATCAAAATACATGGTTAGATTCAGCATATCAAAGAACCCCATATATTCAATTTTTGTTGAAATCAAACAAAGTTTAATTTTGGACCCCAACTTGGACCAACTGGAAAACTGGGCCAATAATCAAAAATCTAAACACATGTTTAGATTCAGCATATCAAAGAACCCCAAGAATTCAATTTTTGTTAAAATCAAACTAAGTTTAATTTTGGACCCTTTGGACCTTAATGTGGACCAATTTAAAAACAGGACCCAAAATTAAAAATCTAAATACACGGTTAGATTTGGCATATCAAAGAACCCCAATAATTCAATTTTTAATGAAATAAAACAAAGTTTAATTTTGGACCCTTTTGACCTCAATATGAACCAATTTGATAGCAGGCCCACAAATAAAAAATCTAAATACATGGTTAGATTCAGCATATCAAAGAACCCCATATATTCAATTTTTGTTGAAATCAAACAAAGTTTAATTTTGGACCCCAGCTTGGACCAACTGGAAAACTGGGCCAATAATCAAAAATCGAAATACATGTTTAGAATCAGCATATCAAAGAACCCCATATATTCAATTTTTGTTAAAATCAAACTAAGTTTAATTTTGGACCCTTTGGACCTTAATGTAAACCAATTTGAAAACTGGACCCAAAATTAAAAATCTAAATACACGGTTAGATTTGGCATATCAAAGAACCCCAATAATTCAATTTTTGATAAAATAAAAAAAAGTTTAATTTTGGACCCTTTTGACCTCAATATGAACCAATTTGATAGCGGGGCCCACAAATAAAAAATCTAAATACATGGTTAGATTCAGCATATCAAAGAACCACATATATTCAATTTTTGTTTAAATCAAACAAAGTTTAATTAAGTTGGACCAACTGGAAAACTGGGCCCAAAATCAAAAATCTAAATCCATGTTTAGATTCAGCATATCAAAGAATTCCAAGAATTTAATTTTTGTTAAAATCAAACTAAGTTTAATTTTGGACACTTTGGACCTTAATGTAGACCAATTTGAAAACTGGACCCAAAATTAAAAATCTAAATACACAGTCAGATTTGGCATAACAAATAAATAAATGTGGTCAAAGATTTTACAAATCTAATGCGCCATACTGTGCAATTAAAGATTACTTCTTGAAATTTTTCAATATTTGAAATTTGAAAAAAAAATAATATTTGAAGAATAATTCTTTTTAATTTCTGAAATCTGAAATGAGAAAAAATTGACCTCCCACAATTTCAATCCCAGCATTCCCTTTGTGATATGGAACCTTGTGGTACAATGTCAGAGAGATCCATACACTAACACACAAGTTATGTCTGGAAGTTACAAAAATGCTTATTTTTGGCCCCTATTTGGCCCCTAATTCCTTAACTGTTGGTACCATAACCCCCAAAATCAATCCCAACCTTCCTTTTGTTGTATTAAACCTTACTGTAAAATTTCATAGAGATCCATTCACTTAAACTAAAGTTAGAATGCGAAAACCAATGTGTCTTCGGACGATGACGACAACGACGCCAACGTCATAACAATATACGATTGCAAAATTTTTTTGCCATCGTATAATCAAGATTTCTCTCTCAAAATATGCTTTTTTGGGTGTACTTGAATAGCAGTTCCACCTAAAAAAAAAACATATCAATTATTTTTGATTTGCATTTTCATTTCAAATCAACATGAATTTTTAAATTATAAAATGATACAGAATGTAAAACTCGCAACTTACTGAGTTTTTCTACGACACACTCCGTATCCACCATTTTCTGGTTTAAAATATTCTTTTTCACATTCAACACAATTACCTGTAAATGTAAATAAATATATAGAATTAATAACTAGTATCTAATCCAAAATTTCAATACCTATCATTTCAGCAAACATTTCTGTAAAATGTCCACAGTTCTTATGTTATAGTTTAAAGGTAGCGTACATATTCATTAAAAAAACAGGAAAATTTTTTCAAGATAGAAGGGTATTTGAGTTAATGATCCTTCCATAAACTATTTATTTGATTATTGCCTCATAGGCTTTTTCCACATATTTTTCTTCAAATAATAACATTTAAAGCCCGAGTATAACAACACAATCCATTCATGATTTTCTAATATCACGCTCTTCTTTCTCTTAGTAAACAAAGCCATTTGCTCATTGTTGTAGGCTGATAATTCCAATAAAACATAGGTTGCATGTGCGTGACATCAGAATTAAAATTGCAAGGTCAGTTTATTTTTTTTAACAATGTTGCAGACCAACATGGACATTTCTGTTAGTGTTGCTCTCTAAAATGTTAAATAAAATCATTGTTAAATTAGGTATACATTTATCTGTACACATTTTATCATAAAACTGTTGGTTTTCTATAATATTTTTGATCCATCAAAATAAATTGGCTGCCTTTTCAACATATCTTAATTTTTAGGTCCACTTTGAAGAATAAAAGTTCTGAAATTTCCCATTAGAATCAAAATGATTCTTTCATGTCATGCTCAATGCTCATTTCAACGTGAGTGTATTTGTCAACATTTAATACCTTGCTCATATTCAGTGTATAGGTAAACTATAATTGCTACCTGTGTTGTAATAAGCATAGGGCATGCTATGAAATAATTATTCGTTAAATGAAGACAATTAAAATAAATATCAAAATCAAAATTCACCATCATTATCCAATTCATAACCAGCCTCCTTGCAGTGCTTTGTGTCAAGCTGGCAGTTGTTTATGTCGTTACCATAGTAACCATTGAATTTGTTACACAAACACTCTCCATTTATCCAGGTTGTGTCAACTGCAAATAAAGAGATATGCTGTAGGTAAGTATATAATGTACGTTAAAAACTGATATAGCAAGCATTTTGATAGTATTGCATATGCAATACATTATCCCCTCCTGACTAATGTTAGCAATGGATGACTTTACACTTATAGGACAAGCAATAGGTTGTTACTGATATAGGTTAGAATTTCAATCTTAACATAATCATTAAAAGTCATTAATTGGTTATTATAGTATATTTATTCACAGATGTGGATGTTGTAAACAACTGCAGGCCCAACCAAATCTCAGAAGCATTATGATATGACACAACACCAATAGATTTTGGTTAATGATCTGGTGACTTCCTATTGGAGTTTTCTCCCCTTTAATATTTATAATTAGTCTTTAAGTAGTAAAACTACTGGACCATACATATTAGAGACCTGGGGTTCAAAACTTACTTTCAGCACAGGTTGGCTTCGTTACACAGATATCAATTTGTTCAAACCACTCTGATGTTTTTATTTTATCTTTGGTGTACTTTCCAGACGGACAATTCTTACAAGTATCATATCCATCATTGTATGTGCAAAATACAAACTGCTTGCCTGAAGAAAAAAAAAATCAAATAAGTATTAAACATTAAACATAATCAAAGTGCTGGATAGCACCTGTGGAAAGTTTGAAACGGTAGATGTGTAATATTTCAAATAGGTTGTAAATGTGTAGATTGGGTGTTTAACTTTTTTTCCAACTTAAAAAAAAAATTACTTCATACAAGAAATAATTGTAACATGATGCTGTTACCGGTTACGAAGTCTCCCAAACAAAGCTCCCATAATTAGTCATTCCCAGGAAGGGGGTGGGAGTGACTCCAGGGGATTCGCCTTTTATTTCATTTGATTTGTTTTATTGTCCCATACAGGAATATATATGGCTTCGGGGTGGGGATCTTGACCGTTTGAAAGTTCTCAAAACAGGATGGGGTGGGGGTGACACCCAGGGACTCCCCCTATATTTCATTTGATTTGTTTTATTGTCCCATACAAGAATATATATGGTTTAGGGGTGGGCATCTCGACCGTTTACAAGTTTTCAAAAAGAAGGGGGGTGGGGTGACCCCTGTGGACTTCCTCTATATTTCATTTGATTTGTTTTATTGTCCTCTACAAGAATATATATGGTTTATGGGTGGTGATCTCGACTGTGTACAAGTTCTTACACAGGAAGGGGTGAGAGTGACCCCAGGGGACTCGCCTTTTATTTCATTTGATTTGTTTTATTGTCCCGTTCAAGAATATATATGGTTTTGGGGTGGGGATCTTGACCGTTTACAAGTTCTCAAAACAGGATGGGGTGGGGTGACACCCAGGGACTCCCCCTATATTTCATTTGACTTGTTATATTGTCCCATACAAGAATATATATGGCTTAGGGGTGGGGATCTCGACCTTTTACAAGTTTTCAAAAAGAAGGGGGGTGGGGTGACCCCTGTGGACTTCCTCTATATTTCATTTGATTTGTTTTATTGTCCCATACAAGAATATATATGGTGTTGTGGTGGGGATCTTGACCGTTTACAAGTTCTCAAAACAGTATGGGGTGGGGGTGACACCCAGGGACTCCAACTATATTTCACTTGAATTTTCTTATTGTCCCATACAAGAATATATATGGTTTAGGGGTGGGGATCTCAACCGTTTACAAGTTCTCAAACAGGAGGGGGTGCGGCTGATCCAGAGGGACTCCCGCTATATTTCATTTGATTTGTTTTATGATCCTGTGATCATTACTGAAAACAGTGTGTGTCTATCACTTACTGTTTTCAAGTTAAAGTCATTTGAAAATTAAAAAAAAAAAAATCCCATAGGGTTCTATAGTAAATCCCTCCCTTCTGTTGGCCCCTCAAAATACCCTTAAATAGACCTCAAGAAGAAAAATAATAAGAACTGAGCAAAACAATAAGTCTCCAAACTTTGTTTGGGAGACTTTATAGCAAGTAGTATAATTACGAATTTTATTTTAGTCCGATTTTCTGATGCCGATTATGTAATAGGCCGAGTTTATTATAGTCCGAGTTTGTTGTGGGCGGAGATGAGATACCGGGATACTTTCGATACACTCAGGCTTTTACGTCCTTAATAAACATTGTAAAAATTGTAGTAAGCATCGAAAAATGTTCATTCATGAAATATTTTAAACACGGTATTTATTTTCTCTTCAACCGGAGGACGGGAGGAAACCCCTGAAACCGGGATTATAGTACTCCCGTTGATATGGATCTCACGCATGTCTGGGGAATACCGATAAAAGCATAATGTAGAAACTGCTGTCTCGTGCAGATGTGTATTGATTTTACTTTCCGCGCAGCGCAGATCCACGAAGTAGTGTTTGTGATAGCAATTTTCAAAATGAAGTTGAATTATTTGAATTATCGAAGAACATTCAGTACATTTTAATTCAAACTGTAAGCTAATCAAAATAGAACTCAAAATTTCAAAAGCATCTTCCTAGAATTAGTTGTCAAACACCAGTACTACACTATCTAGGAGTAGAACACACATCCTAAAGTAAGATAGTCTGTCACTTCCGGTTTGAGGCTGATGCCTTAGGAAAGTTTTTGCTATAGCAAGCTATAGCAAACTTTCCAAAAATCTGATGTCATCCTTAACTCTTTGGTGTCGCTATATGTCCCTTGTTGGCAAACCATGCTATGGACATATTGTCTCAAATTAGAATTTAACAATGAACGTTTTCCAAAAGAATAATTACAAATTTTTACAACTTAAATGCACAGTATAACAAACGTTTTAGGAACAAATAATGGTATAATGTCATTACGACATTTATATGACATCAGAAAAGGCAGTTTGAATGGATTTGAAATGCAAAGATTGTTCTGATACCCACTATTCTATACAATTTTTCATGTAGTTTCTTCACAGGAAAACTTCATATATTACAAGTAGACTTTCTTTATACATCATTTACTACTCAATGCAACAAGCTTGCATTTTGTACTAGTTACTTTGGATTCATTTATTTCCTGGGTACAAATTCAGGAAAAATTGTATTCTCATTGATATTTTACTTCATGATTTAATATGTAGACAAAACATGTGTCTGGCGGACAAAATTATGAGCCTGGTATACATGATGAGTTTTGACAAAATCCTAGTAACATATACTAACCTATAGAAAACTTGAATTACATTGACATTTTAAATTGTGATCATCTATACCCATGAAAATAAGTACCCACAAATCATAATAAATCTGCAGTCTTGGAAAGAAAGACATGCATTTTGGGAACAAACAAAGTATAGAAATATTTAAGCAATATAAAAACCTACTTCCATTCTCATAACATGAAACTTATCTGAGATTTGTCACTTAGATTTTTCTTGATGGGTCTCACTGAATAGTGTCCATGATAAATATTTTCCTTTGCTCAACAGTCAACACTATTACAATTCATTGTCAGATGCCTTTCAAAAATTTACAATCCATGTTCTATGTTATATATATATTTTACAGAGCATATATCAAATAAAACAAACATATTAAAAAGGATCCCTTTCAAAAAAAATTTAGCGCAAATCTAGAAGTACCATAATTGATTTTGAATTTGCCCTAACATGACTTCAGCTATTAAATGACTGCTTAGAAAATAAAAGGGAATTTCACATTTGACAACTTAACACGGAAAAAAACATGACAAATTATGCATTTTTTGTAAAATTTCTTGATCTTTCTTATTTTGTGTCAATTTTTTAGTAAACTTGAATTGCAAAACAATTTGCACACCCAATAATCAACATTATATTTGGTTAGATTATGTTAATAACTATAATAAGGTTCTTAAAAATTAATTTGAACTTCAATCTTGCACTTCTCTAAACTATGCAGTAGTTTCAAAAACTTCATTTTCTAAGGTCAAGGGCAGGCCTTAATCCTATAATGGATCTCAGACTTCCATATTTATAAAATAAGGTAACTTGTTCCGTAAAATAATCTAAGCTTACTCTCTGCACAAACAGTTGTATAACAACAGATCTTATTGCCAGTATTATTTATTCTCTGTACTTGACCATCTTTACAAGGAAGTCCATCAACTCTAACAACAAAAAGCTGAAAGACAATGTGTAATTGTATTTTATTAAGTGATATACATGTATTTTGAAAATATATATTAATGACCATAATTCTAATAGAAATATGCTTTTCAATATAAAATAAGAAGATGTGGTATGATTGCCAATGAGACCACTCTCTACAAGAGACCAAATGACACAGAAATTAACAACTATATGTCACTGTACAGCCTTCAACAATGAGTAAAACCCATACCGCTGAATAGTCTATTTTCCAATTATTGATTTGATTCTGATATTGCACACTTTTAGGACTGGTTGTTTCCTTTTACCAATTGTACACTGGTTTTATACCAGATAAAATGGACTTTGTAATGCTATCGATCTGCCCATTCAAAGCATGATAAGTTGAAAGTGATATAAATAGCATTTTAAACAATTTTTGATAAAAATAATTATGGATATTAAAAGTTTTTAACTTCAACAAAGATTTGAGAAACATAAAGATTACACACATTACGCACAGATAATTTTGGTATTTTTAAATTAAACACATATATTTGTTCAGTGAAATACCCGACTGTAGGATAAATTTTAATATTAAAATTACCATTAAAATCAAAACTGCTGCTGTTGTATGATTCCTGGCCATTGTTTCTTTTTCTTCTCATAACTGTCTTATATATTCTGTCTATGGTAGCTATCCCTAAAACAAATTTGGCTGAATAATCATTCTGCCTATCACTTATATGGTAAATAAATACAATTGATCTGATTATCATTATCAAGAAATCAAAATTGCAAGAAAAATAATAACCAACATTTGAATTCATGTAGATGCAAAATTTTACAACCAAACTTATTGAGGTTTACCTAATCTTCTTATGAATGGTCAACAGCATTTAGGAATAAGAGGGTTGGCGCTTTCAAACATATTTAACCCCGCCACATTTTATGTGTGCCTATCCAAAGTCAGGAGCCTGTAGTTTTGTGGTTGTCATTGGTTCATGTCCGTCATATTTGTTTTTTTTTGTAAATTGTTTCATCATGAATTAGGCTGTTAGTTTTCTCAATTGAATTGTTTCATATTTTTCATGTCTGGTCCTTTTATAGCCAACTGTAAGGTATGGGTTTTTCTCATTGTTGAAGGCGATATGGTTGCCTAGTATAATTGCTTACATCCACTTCATTTGAACTTTGGTGTATTGTTGTATCGTTTACAATCATACAACATTTCCTTATCTAAATAAAGACTGGAGGACCCAGAGTCAGAATAATGTGTCAGGGTATTGTGACATGTCTTTCTGCTGACTATTACCTTGTGAACTAGCACGTTAAAAATCTGGCAAAGTTTGTCGGTCTAGTACAAAGCAGGGTTCTTAAAAATGTCATATTAAAATGTTCTCATCCTGAATATGCATTTAACTAGCCACTCCATGGACATTAAACAACTATCTTCATCAGCATATGACTGTTTAATTCTATTTTAAATTTATAAAGCAGGTATAAACTTATGAAAGGCTGTTTAAAAAAAATATCAGGTTTTGAAACCATTAAATTGATCAGGTAGAACTAAAGTAATTCCTAGATTAATTCATCTAAAGCAAGCTGTTTCAACAGAACTCTATAAATTTCTATAACTACCAACTGTTTAAATTCATAGATAATACTTAAAATCGATATATATATTGGTACAATAAGTAATATTTCACTTAATTCATCTAATTAAGGTGAGTAATACGTATTTGGGTGGTATTTCAGATTTGTATGAAACTCAAATTGTATGCATTTAGAACTAGTTGAACTGCATCTGAATGTCAAAAAACTGATAAAAACACCACTTTCAACACTATTGTGCTATTTCGTGGCAGTCAGTTATTATTGGTGGAGGAAGCCGGAGTGCCTTTAGAGAACCAACTACCTTCGGTAGGAAAACTAACAATCCTAGTCAATTAAGATTAGAGTTGAGTGCACCTGCCCTGTACGGGATTTGAACTCACAACCTCAATGTTGACTGGCTAGTGATACAGTAGTTAGGCTACTTAGACCATTCGGCCACAGAGGCCCCCTAAGTTTAAGAGAATTACAATCAATTAAAATGTTATGAAATAGATCTACAAATGTATAGAATGTATGTTGAAGCAGTGAACATGGTGAACAAATGCAGTTTTGACACTTTCTAATGCAATTTCTTGGAATTCCATCCACAGAAATTTGTTTATTATATCATGTTATTGGTTTTTAACTTTTCTGTTTAAAAGATCTATAATCAGATTTATTGGAGACAAAGTTATAAAAGTTCAAGTCATGTCAGATCTATTATAATAAGCTTCTTTAAAATGCATGAAACGTATTCTAGATACTAGAAAAAGGGAAAATGTTTGCTACCCTAATAAATTTCTGAAATTTCCCAATCTAAAATAATAATAACAATGATAAAAATGGCAGAATTCCAGCCACTAAAGAAGTGTTACTTAATCTAGGGTGTAGAAAAAATTATTAAATAAGCATTTTTGGAGAAACCGAAATATGTTATTTTATAGTTGTTTATCATTTTGTGAAAATGGTATATTCTGGTGTACAAATCTAACAATTTATATGATGATTCAAGTTTGATACATGCACTTCTCTGTTTGGAATTGCAACTCACAGATTTTGTATGCACAATGTAAAATTTTAATATTTATTCAATTTAAACTTGTTCATGATGTGTCATATACTTAATAAATATTTACTTTTTCTCTAAAATCAAACACCCTGAATGCTTGCTTATCTACCAAGTCACATTGTTATGATCAAAATGGTTGCAAGGATAAAAACTTATCCAGTGAGCTATGATGTGCAGGCAGTTTCTTCAGATTTTCATTTTCCAGACAAAAATTTAGTGAATTTAAATATATGCAAACATAATACTTAATTTGCTTGAACACTTACCTTGGTTTTCAGAAAAATTGCTAAATAATGTCTGTATGTCATGTGCACTAAGCAATTTGCAGAAATATTTATTGTTTACATAATGTATGCAGGATGTGTTTTAAGAATATGTGCTAAAAATAGTATCAAGGTGCTTTCCTATGGTGATTTTTCTTTATGGAAAGCCCACATTTTGCACAATGTCACGGTCATATCAATCAACATTGTATTTCTTTCTTACCAATATTACTATTTTATGATATTAAAACATTTTTTTAACCTGTCAATTTTGCAAATCGGTTTATTCTTTTGTTTTCTTTGATTGGAAAATTTCCCGGGGAAAAAATCAATAAATTGTACAATTATCTCCCTTGGTTCAGAAATATACAATTTGCAATTACACTGCTTCACTGTCCTATACCTGTTTGGCTCTGGTGTAAACAGGCCGGATCCCAGTCTATACAAAAAGCCCCCTTCCTAAATATAGAACGCTTCGTCATTCGGCACTGTTAACGGTAAACCCTTTCCTCAAATTCTGTTTCAGGCATTCCACTGATTATCATGAATTTTGGACATTTCAATGCTACTTCTTCAAGAGTGGCATTTCATTTCTGATCTCATCAAAGGTTGGTAGATATATTCAACATCTATAAAGGTTTTTCAAGGAGTCGGCAAATGACATTATGACATGGGAGATAAATGAATTCGTAACTAAAAGTGAGCTCCCAAAAGTTGCTAGATTGCCTTTTGGATATTTTCTTCTTCTTCTTCTTCCTGGTACGGGAAAGACTCCGGTGCCGGAGTGTGGAATATCCCGGGACTGTGGCGCTATGTACATGCAAATGGATGTCGAAAATTTTGTTATAAGATAAAAATATTTGCCACAGTTCAATTACAATTTAAAATAACATTAGTTGTAGCTTAATGTTAAACATATTCACATTATGTACAGTGGCTTAAATACACTAATTAATTAGCCAGACTAGAACCTCCAAATGTTAAGGTGGAGATACCACCTTTGAAGGATTCTAGGGAGGGTGACATGCAAATTGTTTCTGGGAGATCGTTCCAGACAGCAATAGTACTTGGGAAAAAAGATAATTTAAAAAAGTCTTTATTTGTATATATATGTCGAAATTTATGTAGGCCTCTAGTTCGCCTGTCAGATTGTGTCAGGACGTCATTAGTGACTTCGACCAACCCCCCATTAATCTTATAAATCAAGACAAGCTTAGCTTTTGTTCTACGGGATTGCAAGTTTTCCCATTTTAGTTTGTTTAACATAACTGAGTGACAGCACCTGGTGATCTATCATTATAGTCATTAAAAACATATCTTGCTGCCTTACGCTGTATCTGCTCAATTTGGTTTATTTGGCTTATTTTCCATTATAAATTGTCTTTGCACTGTAAAGGAAAGGCGAAAGATACCAAAGGGATATACAAACTGATAAGTCGAAAACAAACTGACAAATTATACCATGGCAAAAAACGAAAACCAACGAAAAAACAAATACACAATTCACAAACCACAACATAGAAAAATAATGACTGAGCTACACGAACCCCATCATAAACCAGTGGTGATCTTAGGTGCTCCGGAGGGGTAAGCAGATCCTGCTTCACATGTGGCACCTGTCGTGTTCTCATGTATGTACAAACCCAGTGATAAGTCTTTATTCCGTAGGTCACATTCAAGGGAGAGGACAGGATTGTTGTTATGACTATTGGAACATATATTCGTCTTCATATTTAAAACAAAGGAGGAGTTGAACTTAGAACATACAATGGCTATTAAACTATTAAAACTCTATGCATTTTTCACAAAAATGTGTAGGAATACCTTTTATATGAAATTAAGTCATGAAATGTAACTTACCTGTTTTTTTTTATTTTGAATAAGTTCACAGGTAAAAGATTAACTGTGGCCCAGTAGCCCAGGTTACTAAATTTGGATCTTTATTTTAGCTGGAAAAATCTGTTTATTTTTATCTTTCATATTGTGTCAGGAGCAGGGCCCTCAGCAAAATTGTAGTCTTTTTCGTAGTGTCTTTTTCCCTGCCTTGTCTTTAAAATAGACATAAATGGAAATCTTGTATTGAAAGTTTAAATTTCAATGTAAAAAATAAGACTAGAAAATTTCTTAAAATGAGTAACTCACATGACATGTGTGAGGGATATTTTGTTAGTGTTAACATATGTTTATGTCGTATTGATACATTAACATATTAACCATGTTAACATGATTAATGTTGTATACCTATTCCAAAGTTTAACTGAAAATTTGTCAGTCTTTAGATTATAGCAAAGGCAATAAGTTCATGTGAATATGGCTACACATCTTTTCTTCAAAGAGAAAGAAAGAAGGAATTAATTTTTCTCTGATTTGTGGACATCATGGCAACATTATAATTTCAAAAGAAACGGTTAGGGTTGAGTTCAGCTCTGCTGCAAATTCCTAAAGCACTGTTGTAATTTCAACATCTAGATAAAAATCAGTTTTAAAAGCCTATATATCTCTTTATATCAGTATATTAGACAACACTATAGCACAGGTAAAAAAAACAATAATACTTACGGGTAGTCATTGTAAGTTGTAAAACAGATTTCTTCAGATTGGAATCAAAGTTGACCTAAAAATTTCTTGAACAGTATAAATAAGTACAAGCTTGTCTTAAGATATATTATAATATCAGACATTTGGCATTAACCATGCACAAAGTCCTAAATTTAACATAACACATGTGCATAATTCATATTCAATTGGTCATTTTGATACAATTATCATTATAAACCTGAATTCCAAAACAACCCCCCAGAAACCAATGGAATTGAAAGAATTTGATTATATTTTGTTTATTGTAGATATTCTTTTTTTACAACATGATACCAAAATTGAAGAATGATGTGGGAAAGAATAAAGGACATTATATGTGTTTATATTTGTGTGGTAAGATTGTTTATAATTTGAGGACAGATTATTCATGTAACACGCATTAGAAAATGATATTTCTGGCTTTATTGTATACATCTGGCCTTTTTGTAGCTCATTTTTCCTTGCACATTATGTTATATACCAATGAAAGCTATTCCATGATCACTTACAGGGTGTGGAAATATTTGTTGTGACCACTTGTGCCTGGGCAAGTGAAGTTGTAAAGTTTACTTGTCCAGAAGAAAAGTTACTTGCCCTGATTTCTTAATAACTATTCTTAATGAATTTGGAATGAAGAAGATGTATTTTACTGTAAACGTGTATGTTTCTCAAACAGTTTTGAAACACAATAGAAATGAAATTCATTGTCTTTTTATTATATTAGAATAATAAAAAGATTATTATTAAGATAAGGGGAGTATACACCAATGAGCTAGAAACCAACCAAAAAACAGCTCTTAATTAAGGAATCTAGAGGCCAATATTGCAATGTTTTTCAATGCTAGCTTACATGAACCTGGGAGATTATATCATGGCTTATGTTTTCTTCCCTGTGAGCCAGTGCGAAGTTTTAAAGTTGATGAATTAAGGGATGAAAACCAAATAATTGATAAATTATTAGATTATTGTTTGCACCCCCCTCCTTTTACCCCCCAAAAAAACTTGTGGTGGACCAATTGTTAATTTGAGATTTAATTGAGATACCTAAGCGAAATCAAAATTTTATAGAACTTTGAAATCCTCTATTCCATTTATTTTCATGATATTTGCACTTTGCCGCCTCTGATTTCCGTTTCTTGTAAAAACCAATTAAGTTCTTTGCTCAACAATTTTATTTTTTATGATGCGCCTCTTTTCAGTTGGTCAATTCAGGGCGATGACCTAACTTAAGATGCTTATCCAACTCGACCGGTCATTTAGTTTTCATTCTTGAGAAATCAGTCTTAGAAATTAATAATGACCATTTCCGGTGTACCGTTGCTATAACCTGATCAACCATCCCGGATCAATGGGAAAAAAACACAGAATATTAATGAAACCCAGGTCTGCATACCTATTTTTTTTTTTTTTATAATCAATCTATTTCTTGATCATTCATGATGTTTTACTAAAACATGTTGCTTTTGTCTCGTTATTTGATATTTTTACTACTTTTTTGAATGGATTTTGAGGACTTTTCTATATGATTATATAAATCAACAATGTCAAATAACATTTTTTTTACTTGTCCACGGGCAACAAAGACACAAAAATTGCTTGTCCGGTCAGTCAAATGTACGAGTCGGCCGAGTCGGGCATAGCATTTCTACACCCCTGACTTAGGGACAATTGTAATTGTCCTTCTTGGTCATGATTGCGTAAATTTTTTCAAAATTTTGAAACCACTGTAGACAATTCAGACCAACATTTGCTTGAACCATTGTAAAGACAGTCTCTCAAAAAATTCTGTTTGTGGAGTGATTGCTAACCTACATTTCCACTGGTACTGTTACTGTAAATTTAGAATTTTTGTGTGCTTTTAATATTGCAATTGTTGATTAATGGACTCAAATGTAAAATTGGTTTCTATGTTTTCAATGAATACTACATACAAATAATTCTATCAAAATTTGAAATATGTAAGTTTTCATTTTTGCGAAACCTATCCCAACATTATTTTCACAAAATTAAAAGCATTGCAAATATTTCTAAATATACAGTACTTGATTACCAGTAGAAAATTTAAAGACAAGACTCAACTTCTGATTAACCATGATTACATGAATTTAAATTCTATGCACTTTACAGAGATCATTAGGACCGAAAGTTGGTAAATTACTCCAATGGTTGAATATCAATAATTTTTCTTATTTCTGTAACTATGCTTGTAAATACTGGACTCACTTACAGTTACAGACCCCAATTAAAGTATCAAAAACCAAAAAACTATGCGTTGCACTATCACATCCTGATATGGAAAAATACACTGAACTAGGCTTTAATTAACAGTAATTTCTACAATCTAACATTTTGAAATTCCTATGTTCTTTATATGTCCTCTTAGGTCTGAAAATATCAATTTTTGATTCAGCCATGCTGGATCTATGTGATCACTCCGGATTTGGAGATGGTGCAGAATTCTAAGTTGAAGACATATTATGAAACTAATTATGTGTTTTTATGACTGTTTTTATATTTAATCATCTTTTGCCAACTTTTGACTTGTTATTTGTCCTCAAATTAAGAAAATTCTGGGCGAACAGCTCCTTTATTTTATATATATATACACTTGCATATAGTTCACTTGTAAATCAACATTTATAATAAATTACTATTTATGAAATAATATGAAAAAGTAATATATCAAATTTAATCAGTTGATAAGAATTATGAAAGTATTTTATCAGTTTCTTATGCTTGTGTAAGTAATTGAATAACATTTGGTACAAGATGTGTATTGATATCAAAGTAGATTCCCACACTTTTTATACGACCGCAAAAATTGAAAATTTTTTGGTCGTATATTGGTATGACGTTGGCCTCGTCGTCGTCGTCCGGCGTCGTCCGAAGACACATTGGTTTTCGCACTCTAACTTTAGTTTAAGTGAATGGATCTCTATGAAATTTTACCATAAGGTTCAATACCACAAAAGGAAGGTTGGGATTGATTTTGGGGGTTATGGTACCAACAGTTAAGGAATTAGGGGCCAAAAAGGGGCCAAAAATAAGCATTTTTGTAACTTCCAGACATAACTTGTGTGTTAGTGTATGGATCTCTCTGACATTGTACCACAAGGTTCCATATCACACAGGGAATGCTGGGAATAATTTTGGGGGTAATTGCCTCAAAATATTAGGAATTAGGGGCCAAAAAAGGGGCAAAAAACAAGCATTTTTTTAGTTTCATGACAATAACTTGTGTGTAAGTGTATGGATCTTTCTGAAATTGTACTACAAGGTTCCATATCACAAAGGGAAAGCTGGAATTGAGTTTGGGGGTAATTGCCCAAAACGTTTAGGAATAAGGGGCCAAAAAGGGGCCAAAAATAAGCATTTTTCTAGTTTCCAGACAATAACTTGTGTTCAAGTGTATGGATCTCTCTGAAATTGTACCACAAGGTTCCATATCACACAGGGAATGCTGGGATTGATTTTGGGGGTAATTGCCCAAAACGTTTAGGAATAAGGGGCCAAAAAGGGGCCAAAAATAAGCATTTTTCTAGTTTCCAGACAATAACTTGTGTTCAAGTGTATGTATCTCTCTGAAATTATACTGCAAGGTACCATACCACAAAGGGAAAGCTGGGATTGAGTATGGGGGTGATGAATCATAAGGGGGTTCAAAAAATTTGGGGGGGGGGAGGATTTTTTTTTTTTTTCCTTTATTTTTTCTTTTAAAATTTTCCATTTTAAGTTGGTTATTTCTGTTTTATATTTAAAAGCAAATAATAACGATATGGTAGGAGATACACACCAAACAGGATGTGTAAATTATTATAAAATAAGTATTGTGCAATAGCAAGAAATTTTCAATTGCACAGTATTGCACAATAGCAAGAAATCTTCAATTGCACAGTATTGCGCAATAGCAAGAAATCTTCAATTGCACAGTATTGTGCAATAGCAAGAAATATCCAATAGCACAATATTGCGCAATAGCAAGAAATTGTCAATTGTACAGTATTGCGCAATAGCAAGAAATATTCAATTGCACAGTATTGTACAAAAGAAGATACTTCGTATAAATTGCTTATTTCTTGACCAATTTCAATGGGGTTTTATTCTTGAATTCTTGGGGTTCTTTAATATGCTGATTCTAACCGTGTATTAAGTTTTTGGATTTTGGGACCCGTTTTTAAATTGGTCCACATTGAGGTCCAAAGGGTCCAAAATTAAACTTTGTTTGATTTCATCAAAAATTGAATTATTGGGGTTCTTTGATATGCCGAATCTAACCGTGTATTTAGATTCTTAATTTTTGGTTCTGTTTTCAAATTGGTCTACATTAAGGTCCAAAGGGTCCAAAATTAAACTTAGTTTGATTTTAACAAAAATTGAATTCTTAGGATTCTTTGATATGCTGAATCTAAACATGTATTTAGATTTTTGATTATGGGCCCAGTTTTCAAGTTGGTCCAAATCGGGGTCCAAAATTAAACTTTGTTTGATTTCAACAAAAATTGAATATATGGGGTTCTTTGATATGCTGAATCTAACCATGTATTTAGATTTTTGATTTTTGGGCCCCATTATCAACTTAGTCCACATTGAGGTCAAAAGGGTCCAAAATTAAACTTTGTTTGATTTTCATCAAAAATTGAATTCTTGGGGTTCTTTGATATGCTGAATCTAACCATGTATTTAGATTTTGGATATTGGACCATAATAGTTGAATGTCCAATTTAAAATTTTTAAGTTCTTAGACCACATTCATTCTGTGTCAGAAACCTATGCTGTGTCAAATATTTAATCACAATCCAAATTCAGAGCTGTATCAAGCTTGAATGTTGTGTCCATACTTGCCCCAACTGTTTCAGGGTTCGACCTCTGCGGTCGTATCAAGCTGCGCCCTGCGGAGCATTTTATTTGAAATGCTATTATTCAAAGCGAATAAGAGTACTGATATAATACAGTAGTAAGACTGTCATTATTTACAAATAACTTCTTTGAAGGTGGGAGTTTAAATTGGAATCACCTCCACTTTAATGCCAATCTTAATTGACCGCACTTGTGTATTACATAATTGAATACACAATAATATTGACCTAGATAGTAGATCTATAATCACTTCTGATCTACACTACATAACATTATTCTGTAAATTATTTATCAGAGATGAATGATAAAGGATAAAACAATGCATGTTTCTGCAAAGAAAAGATAAAAAAAACAAAATATGTATGAAAAAATGCAAGCAAGGTCTATTTTACTTGTACATGTAAAGATCAGTATTATAATCATCTGGTATTAGTCAATAATTTATGTTAATTTAAATTACAATTATCATTACGGTAATTAAACTGAAACAATAAACAATATGTCTTACAAGAGCTTTTATAATTTTTTTAAATTAAAAATGAGATCAGAAAAAAATGTCAGTCTACCCACCGTAAGCTAAACAAATGGCTGAATCACAGCACCGTCGATGCTTTGATTATAGTTTAGAAATTTTTTTTTTAGGTTTGAAAAAAAATTTTTAATCAAAAGATCCCTGTTGACATGATTGATTTTGAAATCAATACCTCAAAGCTTGAGGGCGAGGTCATAGTTACGTAAAGCTAAGACAGCAATTTGTATATAAAAGTGGTTTCCGTATGAAAAATCAAAACTTTATATGGGATTAAAAACTCAAATAGATATGAGGTTACAAATCATTAGATTTGATTGATTGATTGGTGTTTAACTCCACTTTCAGCACTATTGTTCTATTTTGTGGTTGCCAGTTTTTATTGGTGGAGGATGATGGTCTGCCCGGAGAGAACCACTGACCTTCGGTAGGAAAACTAACAATCCTAGTCAATTAAGATTGGAGTCGAGTGTACCTGCCACATGCGGTATTCAAACTCACAGCCTCAGTGCAGACAGGCTAGTTATACAGTAGTCGACTACTTAGACCACTCGGCCACAGAGACCCCTATAATCTAACATTTTACTAATAATTAGAGGAAGATCTCATATTTAAGGTCAAGGTCATAGTTACTTAGAATAAATTTATATATGACAATTTTATTATCTAAAATCATAACAGAAGATAATCAAATCATAAAAACTATGCAATCAGGTCACTAAAAGCTTTTGCCTTTGATATGGGATGAATGGGTTATGCTCAATAAAGGTTCTTTGTTATTCAAAGTCTTTTTGTTTCAGCTGAATCAATACAATGTATTACAGGAGTTGTACTTGCTGTAACAATTACTATAACATTATAAAAATAAGGAGATGTATGATTTCCATTGAGACTTAACTATCCACAGGAGTCAATTGATGTGGATGTAAGCAACTATAGGTCACTGTAAACTGTCAACAATGAGCAAAATCCACATTTTGCATAAATGACAAAATGTAAAACAAATTAAATGAGAAGACAATGGGCCTCATTATGACAGTTAACAAAAAGATATGACAGACAGCACCCAACAACAACCACTGAATTAATTTTAAGGCTCCTGACTTGAGACTGACACATACAGAATGTGGCGGGTATATCCAAATTATTGTTGGAATATAGAAATTGTTATGTCTTTTCAATTTATATGTCCCTCTTTACACACTTCCTAAATTAGGGACTTAAACTATAGGTTGCATTTCTGTAAATATTGACAATGCAATTTCCCATAGGAACTCCTTTTACCGCTTTTACTATGAAGTTTTGAAAAAATCATATCCTAGAATGGAAAGTTCATATGCACTACAATTTTTTTCAAAGGTCAAAATATAGGGCTGTGCTGCATATTTTCAACGTTTATATGCCCCGAACTTCTAAGAGTTTAAACTAACACTAAATTTCTTAACTATCCCTACCTTGACTGTAGGATTACCACAGATTTCTATATAGACAATATGCATATGTATATTTACTGGTAACATTCCCAAGTTATGTCTCTATGAGATGAAACCTAGAGATCATAACTGGGAACCAGTATGTAAACAAAATTAATTATCTATGAATATTCTATATCTCCCCAAAAGAGGCGTGGTTTGAGAAACAGCTGTATTTACAAAGTGCAACCTATAGACTCTTTAAGAGAATTTATACTATTTAATGGGATTAATGATTCTCTAAAAGTTTATTATACCTAAAAAGTGATATTCAATCATTCACACATGCTGCAGATATGAAATTACTTAATCATGCAGTCAAATTTTTGGTTTTGCTACAGAGCCAGCAAAGAATGTCTATTAAATAAATGTTTTATACTTTCAGTTTATTTTTATTAACCAATGTTCTTGTAACAGCATTGCACTTAAACAACAGGATTGTCAGAAAGACCAAGTGGAAAGATTGTACAGAGGAAGACATATCTGTTGTTATCCTATTAAATGTAAACCAGGTCAGTAATTTAAAAGTAATTTATTTTTAATCATAAGCCTTTTCTTATAATAGGAAATGTAGTGAAAATACCTTATCTCGCCGCACCAAAGTTGAAAAGGGGAGATATTGTAAAGCAACTTATTTTTGCGGATACTTTATTTCGTGTTTAGCTATTTCTCTCCTACTTCACGGAGATTAAATTTCCTGATTTTCATGTTTCCTTTGAGAAGTTATATAAGGAATAATCCAATTTCACAACTATTTATATTTGCATTATTTTCCTACTCGCGAAAGTCGCGAAAATAAATTGGTTCGAAAATTAGTTGGTTTACAGTATAAGCCGGAAGTCATGATCTTAAACATGTATTAGTTTGTGATTAGGTCAGTTTATGTGGAACCACTTATGATATGTCAATGATATTTAGCATGCAATTGTATAAGTACATTTGTATTGGCACATCTCATTGCCATGGACATTATTTGGTCCCTCTCCCTCAGTCATGGTCTATTGACTGAAACTTTAGCTTAGTTTACGTATTAGTTTGTGAAAAGTTCAATTTTGGGGAACCCTTAATGGTTGGTCAATGATATTAGGTATGCTGTTGTATAAGCATTTACACATCTCATATCCATGGATATCTTATGGCCACACCCCCTCTTTTTGCATAGTTTACATGTTCAAGTTTGTGTTTAGGTCAGTTTTATTGTCTCTCCTTGACGGAGTCAAAAAGCGAGACATAGGTATGCTGTTTCCGGCGGCAGCGGCGTCAACAATGTATTAGTTTGTGATTAGGTCAAGTTCATGGTGAACCACTAGTGGTAGGTCAATGATATTTGGTATGCAGTTGTATTAGCATTGGCACATCTCATTACCACGGAGATTATTTGGCCCGGCCCCCTCAGTCAAGGTCTATATACTTTGAAACTTTTCATAGTTTACATGTATTAGTTTGTGATTAGGTCAATTTATGGGGAACCACTAGTGGTAGGTCAATGATATTTGGTATGCAGTTGTATAAGCATTGGCATATCTCATTTCCATGGAGATTATTTGGCTCCGCCCCCTTAGTCATGGTCTATAGACTTTGAAAATTTTGCTAAGTTAACATGTATTAGTTTGTGATTAGGTCAGTTCAAGGGGAACCATTAGTGGTAGGCCCATGTTAATTGGTGTTCAGTTGTATAAGCATTAGCGCATCTCATTTCCATTGAGAATATTTGGCCCCGCCCCTCAGTCATGGTCGATTTACTTTGAAACTTTTGCTTAGTTTACATGTATTAGTTTGTGATTAGATCAGTTTAAGATGAACTGCTAATGTTAAGTCAATGATATTTGGTATGCAAATTTATTGGCAGTTGCAAGTATCGTTTCCATGGAGATTATATAGCCCCATCCCTGATCATGGTTCATTGACTTTGAAACTTTTACATAGTTTACAAGTTAATGTTTGTGTTTATGTTTGTTTAAAGGGAACGACTTATAATAAGTCAATGGTATTTGGTATGCAGTTGTATTAGCATTGGCACATCTCATTCCATGGAGATTGTTTAGCCATGTACCTTCAGTCATGGTTCATCGACTTTGAATATTTGCATAACTTACATATTAAAGTATTGCTATTTTAATTTCAACATTTGCATTATCAAAATTACAAAAAGGCAAGACATATCTCTGTGGTAATAGTTTATTAGGGAACCACTTATGATAAGTCAATGGTATTTGGTATGCAGTTGTGTATGAATTGTCATTTCTTACTTCCACAGCAGTTATTTGTCCCTGCAACTCTAAGCATAGTTCATTGACTTTGAATGCTCTGCAGAATTTACAGGTTATAAATATTGCCATTTTTATGCCCCCACCGTAGCGGTGGGGGCATTAAGTTTTACCCTTGTCCGTCTGTACGTACGTACGTCCGTCCATCCGTCCGTATGTCCGTACATCCCAAAGTTGGTTTTCGTTCTCTAACTTTAGTTTGCCTCAACCAAATGTTATGAACTTATACACAAAGCTTATTACCACATAATACAGACCAAGTTCAAAATTGGGTGGCGTCACTTTTACCGTTCTTGAGTTATGCCCCCTTATAAACATAAAAATTGCTGAATTTTTCTTTTCCGTTCTCTAACTTTAGTTTGCCTCAACCAAATGTTATGAAACTTATACACAATGCTTATTTCCACAAAACTCAGATCAAGTACAAATTTGGGTAGCGTCACTTTCACCGTTCTTCAGTTATGTCCCTTTATAACTTTATATGATATGCAAGCGGGGGCATCATTTGTGTCCCATGGACACATTCCCCATTTATTTTAGATAGGAGATGTCCTTCTGACAAACTTCAAAACTAAAGCATTTGGACCTTTCTGGATGAAAATATTCCCACAGTTTTGTGAAAAATTGACAAATATTCTATTTCACTATATATGCATACTTGAAACACCTTTCATCTTAAAATAATAGTGTTAATATTAGGGCCTAAATAGGACCATTACTGCACCTACTCCTTTGTTCGTGAATTGTGTCATCCTTCAAACATTTGACTTATACTTAAAATAAGTCTTCTGCTCTGAAAAAAACCAGCACCAACTTTCAAATTTCAACCATCTCCTAGTTTCAGTATTTTATACAGTTTTATTGACTCCCTCTAGTAAGTAATTATTTTACTGGTATTCAGATAGAGCCACTGTTATGCAGGAATGTCAGTTTAGTAGATGCTCCATATACTTCTTATGCCCCCGCCGAAGCGGAGGTGGCATTCAATTTTACTCTTGTCCGTCCGTACATCCCAAAATTGGTTTCCATTCTCTAACTTAAGTTTGCCTCAACCAAATGATAACAAACTTATACACAATGTTTATTACCACAAAACACAGATCAAGATTGAATTTTGGTGGCATCACTTTAACCGTTCTTGAGTTATGCCGCTTTATAAATGGAAAAATTGCAAAATTTTTCATTTCCGTTCTCTAACTTAAGTTTGCCTCATCCAAATGTTATGCTTATTACCACAGTACACAGATCAAGTTTGAATTTTGGGGGCGTCACTTTTACTGTTCAAGAGTTATGCCCTTTACAATTTTTATACGACCGCAAAATTTTTGCGGTTGTATATTGGTATGACGTTGGCGTCGTCGTCATCGTCATGGTCTGTAGACACATTGGTTTTCACACTCTAACTTTAGTTTAAGAGAACTCTTAATGGATCTCTATGAAATTTTACCATAAGGTTCAATAACACAAAAGGAAGGTGGGGATTGATTTTGGGGGTTATGGTACCAACAGTTAAGGAATTAGGAGCCAAAAAGGGGCGAAAAATAAGCATTTTTGTAACTTCCAGATATAACTTGTGTGTTAGTGTATGGATCTCTCTGTCATATATCAAAAAGGGAATGCTGGGATTGATTTTTGGGGGTAATTGCTTCATAATTTTAGGAAAACAAGCATTTTTCTAGTTTCATGACAATAACTTGTGTGTTAGTGTATGGATCTTTATAAAATTGTACTACAAGGTTCCATATCACAAAGGGAAAGCTGGAATTTAGTTTGGGGGTAATTGCCTCAAAATTTTAGGAATTAGGGGCCAAAAAGGGGCAAACAAAAGGTATTTTTCTAGTTTCAGGACAATAACTTGTGTGTAAGTGTATGGATCTTTATGAAATTATACTACAAGGTTCAATATCACAAAGGGAAAGCTGGGTTTTAGTGTGGGGGTAATTGCCCTAAATGTTTAGGAATTTGGGGCCAAAAAGGGGCCAAAAAACAAGCATTTTTCTAGTTTCCTGACAATAACTTGTGTTCAAGTGTATGGATCTCTCTGAAATTGTACTGCAAGATACCAGACCACAAAGGGAAGGCTGGGATTGAGTTTTGGGGTGATGAATCATAAGGAGGTTCAAAAAATTGGGGGGGGGGTTCCTTTTTTTCTTTAAAATTTTCCATTTTAAATTGGTTATTTCTGATTTATATATAAAAGCAAATAATAATGATATGGTTTCAATAGGTAAATTAATTTTTAAGTTCTTAGACCACCACATTCATTCTGTGTCAGAAACCTATGCTGTGTCAAATATTTAATCACAATCAAAATTCAGTGCTGTATCAAGCTTGAATGTTGTGTCCATACTTGCCCCAACTGTTCAGGGTTCGACCTCTGCGGTTGTATCAAGCTGCGCCCAGCGGAGCATTTTATTAAAATTGGAGTTATCTTCCTTTGTCAATGATTAAAGTTAAATCAACTACAATCAATGCTTTATACAATGCAATGTTTAATTTTGCCTTCCACTGATAAAACACAGATCAAGTTGAATTTGGGTAGTGTCACTTTAACCATTATTGAGTTATGCCCTTTATAAATCGAAAAATTGCAAAACTTTTAGTTTCCATTCTGTAAATTAAGTTTGCCCCAACCAAACATTATGAAACCTATACACAATACTCATTACCACAAAACTAAGATCAAGTACAAATATTGTTTCCGTTCTCTAACTTTAGTTTGCCTCTACCAAATTTTATGAAACTTATACACAATGCTTATTACTACATAATACAGATTAAGTACAAAATTCGGTGGCGTCACTTTTACCATTTTTGAGTTATGTCCCTTTATAAACATAAAAATTGGTGAATTTTTCGTTTCTGTTCTCTAACTTTAGTTTGTCTCAACCAAATGTTATAAAACTTATACACAACTGTTCTAGAGTTGTGTGTGTTTACAAATAGAAAAGTTGTTGAATTTTTCGTTATTGTTCTCTACTTAAGTTAGCCTCAACCAAATGTTATGAGACTTACACACAATGCTTATTACCACTAAACTCAGGTCAAGTTCAAATTTGGGTAGCGTCACTTTTACCATTCTTGAGTTATGTCCCTTTATAACTATATGATATGCAAGCGGGGGCATCATCCGTGACCACATGTGGACATAATCCACATTTATTTGATGAATGTATGAATAGTTTTGTCACATACACACTCTCCATTTTCTATTATTTAATCTGCTAAAACAAAAAACTATACTTCTTTTAGGAATTATTACCGTTGAATTACAAATGTTGTCAATAATTAGCCTTTTTTGGCTTTTTTCTTGAAAATAAGAATAGAAAAAAGGAATCTGTAAACAGCGAACATGATCAGCAAGATGAGGTTTACATGCATTAATATGAAATTGTAAGTATCCACCCAAGACCAAAAGATCGTTACGTAACAACAAATTATTACTGTATGGCCTTCAACAATGCACAAAATTCATACTGTATAGTAAGCTATAAAAGCTCAAGGAAAATCACTGAATTACAGGCTCCTGACTTCAGACATGTACATAAAAATGAGGCTGGGTTAAACATGTGTGTCAGCCCTTACCCTTTCGCTATATGATAACTGTATTTAATTTATATGAGACATGCACAATGTCCATAACACAAATTAGTCAAAATTTCTAATTCAATCAGAATTCTAAAATTGTTAAATTCTCTGTTTAAACCTCTTTTTCAGGTCAAAAGTTTGACTTCTGTAGAACAAATAATGGACATGACACTTGTCAGAACTGTCCTAATGGGTACAGCCATAATGATTTGATTGATACTGCTAAATGGTTTTTTAGAATAGATCCATGTGTACCTGTAGAGGATTGTTCTGATTATTGTAAGTTTTTATACGACCGCAAAAAAATATTTGGAGTCCTATATTGGTATCACGTCGTCATCGTCGTCAGCATTGTCGGAAGACATTTGTTTTCCAGACAATAACTTTAGTTTAAGTGTATGGATCTCTATGAAATTTAACCAAAAGGTTCAATGCCACAAAAGAAATGTTGGGATTGTTTTTGGGGGTGACGGTCCCAACTGTTTAGGAATTAGGGGCCAAAACAAGCATTTTTCTAGTTTCAGGACAATAACTTGTGTATAAGTATTTTGATTGCTCTGAAATTGTACCACAAGGTTCAATACCACAAGTAGAAGGTTGAGATTCATTTTGGGGGTAATTGCCCAAACCGTTTAGGAATTAGGGCCAAAAAGGGTCTAAAACAATTTTTTTTGGGGGTGGGGGGCAAATTCTCTTCAAATATTTTTGATGGAGGGGAGGTAAAATAAAAAAAAATTGGGGGGTGGTCAATTTTTGTTCCCTCAAGATTTAAGAAATTGTCAATTTTCCAAAGAAAAAAATTGTGGGTCACATTTTATTTTGATAATTCTTTGTACATGTATATAGTCTGTAAACAGATTTACTAAGTATTGCGCAACAGCACAGTATATTGCACAACTGCAAGAAATCTTCAACTGAATATAAATTCAAATCATACAACCAATTTCAAGTTCTTTGACTACATTTATTCTGTGTCAGAAACCTATAATGTGTCAAATATTTAATTACAATCCAAATTCAGACCTGTATCAAGCTTGAATACTGTGTCCACTTTTGCCCCAACTGTTCATGGTTGGACCTCTGGGGTCATATCCAGCTGCGCTCGGCGAAGCAGTTTATTATGTTTTAAGAAACATGCAAGTTTCAGGTGGATCATCACTATATATTTCTTCAAATAGAATTTTCTTTACATACCGGTACTTTGCCAAAATGTAGATTTTACTATGCTTTTTATGCCCCTGCCATAGTGGAGGGAGCATTAAGTTTTACCCTCTTCCATATGTACGTACGTCCCTACGTCTGTACGTCTGTACGTCCCAAAGTTGGTTTCAGTTCTCTAACTTTAGTGTGCCTCAACCAAATGTTATGAAACTTATACACAATGCTTATTACCACAAAACATAGATCAAGTTTGAAATTGGGTGCCCTCACGATAACGGTTCTTGAGTTATGCCCTTTATAAACATAAAAATTGCTGAGTTTTTCGTTTCCATTCTCTAACTTTAGTTTGCCTCAACCAAATGTTATGAAACTTATACACAATGCTTATTACAGCATAATACAGGTCAAGTTCAAGTTGGGTGGCGTCACTTTTACCGTTCTTTAGTTATGCCCCTTTATAAACATAAAAATTGCTGAATATTTTGTTTCCCTTCTCTAACTTTAGTTTGCCTCAAACAAATGTTATGAAACTTATACACAATGCTTATTACCACATAATACAGATCAAGTTTGAAATTGGGTGGCATCACTTTTACCGTTCTTGAGTTTATGCCCCTTTATAAACATAAAAATTGCTGCATTTTTTGTTTCCGTTCACTAACTTTAGTTTGCCTCAACCAAATGTTATAAAAAATTATACACAATGCTTATTACCACATAATACAGATAAAGTTCGAAACTGGGTGGCATCACTTTTACCGTTCTTGAGTTATGTCCCTTTATTAACATAAAAATTGCTGAATTTTTTGTTTCCTTCTATAACTTTAGTTTGCCTCAACTAAATGTTATGAGACTTCTACACAATGCTTATTTCCACAAAACTCAGATCAAGTACAAATTTGGGTAGTGTAACTTTTATCGTTCTTTAGTTATGTCCCTTTATATCTTTCTATGATATGCAAGGGGGGGGGGGGGGGGGGGGGGGCATCATCTGTGTCCCATGGAAACATTCCACATTTATATTTTTTCAAAAATATAATTAAAAGTATGGGTCACAGTGCTATTTTTTAAGCTACAAGTCATGAAAAATTGCCCAATTTTGCATACATTATTCATGAAGAAAATACTTTTTATGTAATTTTGCGGTCGTATATTGGTATGAAGTTGGTGTTGTCGTCGTCCGAAGACACATTGGTTTTTCGCTCAAACTTTAGTTTAAATGAATGGTCCAACATTAAACTTTGTTTGATTTCATCAAAAATTGAATTATTGGGGTTCTTTGATATGCCGAATCTAACCGTGTATTTAGATTCTTAATTTTTGGTTCCGTTTTCAAATTGGTCTACATTAAGGTCCAAAGGGTCCAAAATTAAACTTAGTTTGATTTTAACAAAAATTGAATTCTTAGGGTTCTTTGATATGCTGAATCTAAGCATGTATTTAGATTTTTGATTATGGGCCCAGTTTTCAAGTTGGTCCAAATCGGGGTCCAAAATTAAACTTTGTTTGATTTCAACAAAAATTGAATATATGGGGTTCTTTGATATGCTGAATTTAACCATGTATTTAGATTTTTGATTTTTGGGCCCCGTTATCAACTTTGTCTACATTGAGGTCAAAAGGGTCCAAAATTAAACTTTGTTTGATTTCATCAAAAATTGAATTCTTGGGATTCTTTGATATGCTGAATCTAACCATGTATTTAGATTTTGGATATTGGACCATAATAGGTGAATGTCCAATTTAAAATTTGTAAGTTCTGAGATCACATTCATTCTGTGTCAGAAACCTATGCTGTGTCAAATTTTTAATCACAATCCAAATGCAAAGCTGTATCAAGCTTGAATATTGTGTCCATACTTGCCCTAACTGTTCAGGGTTCGACCTCTGCGGTCGTATCAAGCTGCGCCCTGCGGAGCATTTTATTTAAGTTCTTAGACCACATTTATTCTGTGTCAGAAACCTATGCTGTGTCAAATATTTAATCACAATCCAAATTCAGAGCTGTATCAAGCTTGAATGTTGTGTCCATACTTGCCCCAACTGTTCAGGGTTCGACCTCTGCGGTCATATCAAGCTGCGCCCAGCGGAGCATTTTATTTGTGAATAAAAAGAAATCTATGGGATAGAGTTTTGAAATTAAATATGAGAAGATAGGTTTTATAATATGCTTTAAGAAAATAAAAATAAAAAATGGTGTCACTGAACTTGTTTTCTTGCTTCAAGTATAAAATGAAAATTACATAATCATTCCATTAAAAAACTTTTACTAGACGAGCTATCTCTCTTTATATGGCTAAGTTAAAAAAAAATTGATTCGAACAAGAACAAATATTAGGTATTTGTTATATCAGTCTAAATAATGCAATAAATCAATGTTCTTTATTATTAAGATAAACAGTCTTACACATTAATTACTAATCTGTCTCAAAACTTGCAGATTTAAGCAAAGAACTAGATTATGTACTACTATTTTACAATCCAAGACGGGAGTATAAAGTTAATCTATCTTAAATAAAAGGAGATATACGTCTTCTTTTAAACACCCCTTCCCAGCCTTTCTATTGACCAAATAATCATTGGCATACATGATGGGGGTTCAAAACGAAGACTTTCTCCCTATTTAGTACAAATATTGCTTTTCTGTTGTTTATTGTCACAACTTCAGTGTTTATTGATTTCTGCAAATAATGATTTGTTTTCTGTTTTAGCTGATTTAATACAAGAAAATGGAGAGTGTGTATGTGACAGAACAAGAGGTTATTATGGAAGAGACAAACATAAATGTGCTGCTGACCCAAAGTGCAAGAAAGCAGGATTTGAACTGAGTCAAGATGGTACATATTATTTTCACAAAAATTCTTTCAAAATAATGGGTAGTTAAAAAGATTGATAACAACTTTACAAAAATAACATGTTAATTTTGAAAATTTGATGAGTAAAAGAGAATACTGACATAAAGAGGTCTCTAAACACAATAGCTCCAATGGAGCTTTAGCTAGTTAAAGCCATATGATTGTGTGATTTATTTAAAAAAAAAAGTTTTGTTTAATGTTAAAAATTTGTCTTTTTAGTCTTTAATACATTAAGAATAGACATTCTATGTCAAAAATAAAATTTCACAGCTGAACAAGTTTCTAAATATGATGGCATGAGAAACCAAATAATAAAATGAAAAATTAATCCTGAAGGTATCATGGAAAAGGGCAAACAAAATATTGCGAGAATTTTTTTTATAAACCTCCAGAAGTCTTAATATATGTACATAAGCAACTATAGGTCAACAACGCATATAACCCATACTATTTAATCACCTATAAATGGATCTGACTTGATAAAATGTGAAACAATTAAAACGAGAAGATCAACTGCCTGGTTTATGCAAAAACAATAAAAACAAAAAACAATTATCGATATGACAGACAGCAACCTATGATAACTATTGAATTACAAACTCCTGATTTGGTTAAACATGTTTGTGCATTTGTTTTTTTGGTGAATAAGTTTGCAATACAAGTACCCAAAAATTAATTCCTTCAAACTAGTTTTAGGGACCTCGGTGGCCAAGTGGTTACTGTATCACTAGTCAGTCAACAAGGAGGTTGTGAGTTCGAATCCCACACAGGGCAGGTGTACTCGACTCCAATCTTAATTGACTAGGATTGTCAGTTTTCCAACCGAAGGTCATGGTTCTCTCCAGGCACTCTGGCTTCCTACACCAATAAAAAATGACCCCCATGAAATAGCACAATAGTGTTGAAAGTGGCGTTAAACACCAATCAATCAAACTAGTTTTGTATTGCTTTACCTTTTTTTTTGGTGAGTACCTGTATGCTACTATCATGCTGTTTACTTTCCCACAACTTATGTTTTTACTTTGATGAAAACGGATTCCATATAAAATAAGGAGCTGTGGTATGAATGATTGCTTATGTGACTATTCACCAGATACCAAATAATTTAGATGTCCAGTAAGCAACTATAGTTCACCATTCTGCCTTTAACCAAGTAAATTTGTTTATAGGTTATAAAGCTATTGCAGTTTGTTTAAACACTGTTTTCTTGATTTTGCTCCCTGTGTCTCGAGTATATTTTATCTAGGTGAATTATTGTATAATTTGACTCGTGTGACTTGATAAAATATATTAACATGCGTACATTATTATTCACAGAGCATTGAAAATATTCTTTTTTTCTTAGCATAAATTTATGTATCATTATGTATATACTAACAGGACACTGTTTAATGTGTGGAGAGGAACATTTCAAGATTAACTATGATTACAGCTTATGTATAAACAAGACCAGGTTTGTAAAATAAGTTATGAGATAAGGCCTTATTTCAATGGTTAAAAACTAACTTATGTTAAGTCTGTTTGTTCCATGAAATTTAGTTGCATTTTTCTCAGAAACTAAAAATTAGAGTTTCCTGAAATTTATCTACTTCATGCCAACTTTTTTGTCTCGCCTGCGACCATATTTGTCACGGAAAGCTTGACATAGGGATTGCTTTTCCGGTGACGATGGCTCCGGAGTCAACAATTGTTAAGTTTTCTGCTTAAGTTAGTTTGATAGGAACTACTTGTGATAATTCTTTGATATTTATTATGAAGTTGCATTACTATCCGTACATATCAGTTTGACGATTATTTCTAGGCCAAAGCCCTTAAGTCATGGTCCAGTGACTTTGAATTAATAAGCAATTTTCAATGTTAAGTTTTCTGCTTAAGTCAGTTTGATAGGAACTACTTGTGATAGATCATTGATATTTAATATAAAGTTGCATTACTCAGTACATATTAGTTTGACAAACTATTTCGAGGCCCTGCCCTTAGGTCATGGTCCAGCAACTTTGAATTAACTAGCAATTTTCAATGTTAAGTTTTCTGCTTAAGTTAGTTTGATAGGAACTACTTGTGATAGATCATTGATATTTAATATAAAGTTGCATTGATATCAGTACATATCATTTGACAACTATTTTGAGGCCCAGCCCTCTAAGTCATGGTCGAGTGAATTTGAATTAATAATCAAATTTTATTGTTAAATTTTCTGCTTAAGTTAGTTTGATAGGATCTACTTGTGATAGATCAATGATATCTTGTATGAAGTCCCCTTACTATCAGTACATATCAGTTTGACGACTATTTTGAGGCCCTGTTCCCATGGACATGGTCTAGTGACTTTGAATTAATGATCAATTTTCAATGTTAAGTCAGTTTGATAAAAACTACTTGTGACAGATCAATGATATCTTGTATGAAGTCGCATTACTATCAGTACATCTCAGTTTGTCGACCATTTCTAGGCCCTGCCCACAAGATCATGGTCCAGCGACTTTGAATTAATAAGCAATGGTGCTGCTGCCCATCAGATTGTATTTTCTGAATTTTATGCGGACAGGCAATACATATCTCTGTGTCAACAGTTTATTACCATGTGAGGCCCTTTTACATCTGTACCTCATCAACTTTCTATTTACTGAATACTTATTTAGTCTTATGAATACCGTAATGGGCCTTGTATAGTTCGCACTGGTACATTGTCCGCACCCCCTTCTCTCTACGAGAATTCAGGTAAAAAACATTTTGTAACTGTTTGAAAACGTCTTAATAAAAATCCGGTAATTTCAAATCGTGTGTGATTGTTTGCTGTATTTTCATGGAAAAACCTGTTTTCCATCATCAAATAAAAGTTGAAAATGATTCTATAATACTTCACAAGCGTTAAAATAAGTCAAAATCACAAAAAAAAACAATTAAGAAACTTGTGTATGTTTAACCCGGAAGATCGAATAGCACGTGTAAATGAAAATGAATACGGTGTGCGGAAAATCCGTACTTAATAGATACCACTAGAATACGACTTTGAAAGTAAAACGGCTCCATCCTTTAGTAAAATGCTGTTAAACATATCCATCATAATAATGTTTGAAGGATCTTAAGCTAAAACAAAACACATGCGTCAGTATGAATCACCAAAACGGAACAAATAACCGATTACGTTTTGTAGTTTATACATCGTTATGCATAAACTGGTTCCCGGCTAACTTATACACTCCATTAAATACAAGCGGTTTCCAGTTTATGTTATGCAATGCTGTGAAAAGAAACAAGAAATTTGTAATGAAGCATTTAATTTTGAAATTAATCACTTTATAATGGATTTTGAATTAAAATTGCACATTCATATGGATTAGGTAAAATATTACTTTTGAAAATGATAGGAGCGCCCTCTACAATTTCAATAACAAACATGGCGGAACGTAAACAAACCTCGCAAAATCGAATTTTTCTCTTATTTCTTGTTCTTGTACGCTATAATCTGCACCCCTGTATGGCAGGTTTAATTTTGGAGAATAAAACCGCGTACTATACAAGCCTGAATTCGGTAATGGCACTGTTTGAAATTTTTGTCACATTTTTCTCAGAAACTAAAAAAGATAAGTCTCCTGAAATTTGGTTCTAAGCTTCATGTGAGCATGCTTTACTCTGTACATACTTTTCAAAGACGTCAATTTGATTCAATGGCAAAACACCATGATTTCTGTTTACATAATTATACATTTATTGACACTATTACAGGTGTACAAATGATCAAGAAGTGGACTTTAAAGGTTCTCACATGGTAGACAGAACATGCAGAAGGAGAATAGACCCAAAACCAGACATTTCAGCCCCAGTAAAACCTATCATCAAAGAGACCAACAAGACAAAATATTATATGAAAGTGGGTGATGGTGATAGAAGTAAAGGCACTGAGAAAAAAAATGAAACTGTTGGTAAGAAAAACATTCAGTAATCTTAATAATGAAATTGAACACTGCTAGTATTCATAAGGAAAGTGATTCTCTAATTCTTACCTGATTCATACTTTTCACGACTGGTTCCTAATTTTTATGCCCCCGCCGTAGCGGAGGGGGCATTAAGTTTTACCCTAGTCCGTCTGTACGTACGTACGTCTGTTCGTACGTCCCGAAATTGGTTTCTGTTCTCTAACTAGAGTTTGCCTCAACCAAATGTTATGAAACTTATACACAATGCTTATTACCACAAAACACAGATCAAGTTTGAATTTTGGTGGCGTCACTTTAACCGATCTAGAGTTATGCCCCTTTATAAAAGGAAAAATTGCAAAATTTTTATTTTCTTCTAAATATCAAGTTTATATAATATATTTTTAAAATTGGAGTTATCTTCCTTTGACCATGATTATAGTTGAATCAACTACAATCAATGCTTTATACAATGCAATGTTTAATTTTGACTTCCACTGATAAAACACAGATCAAGTTGAATTTGGGTAGTGTCACTTTAACCATTATTGAGTTATGCCCCTTTATAAATAGAAAGATTGCAAAATTTTTTAGTTTCCATTCTGTAACTGAAGTTTTGCCCAGCCAAACATTATGAAACCTATACACAATATTCATTACCACAAAACTCAGTAAGGATCAAGTACAATTTTTTTGTTTCAGTTCTCTAACTTGAGTTTGCCTCAACCAAATGTTATGAAACTTATACACAATGCTTATTACTACATAATACAGATTAAGTACGAAATTAGGTGGCAACACTTTTACCATTCTAGAGTTATGTCCCTTTATAAATATAAAAATTGCTGAATTTTTTAGTTTGTCTCAACCAAATGTTGTAAAACTTATACACAACCGTTCTAGAGTTATGCGTGTTTACAAATAGAAAAATTGCTGAATTTTTAGTTTCTGTTCTCAACTTAAGTTAGCCTCAACCAAATGTTATGAGACTTACACACAATGCTTATTACCACAAAACTCAGATCAAGTTCAAATTTGGGTAGCGTCACTTTTACCGTTCTTCAGTTATGTCCCTTTATAACTATATGATATGCAAGCGGGGGCATCATCTGTGTCCACATGTTGACACTATCCACATTTATTTATAATCAACGAGTGGTTCATTGGTTCTCAGTTCTTCATTTATCAAAATTCAATGATGATGTCTAATTTTCTTGCTTTTCTCTGAATTTCTTATTATGACGTCACGAAAAAATGTGACTATGCCTGATGACGTCACATATATAGAACACATCTATTTTGAAGATCATTGAAAAAGAAAGATAAAGTTTGTCTACATGTAGTCTAAAATCATAAAAGAAACAGATTCCTCCATGGAAACACAACAGCTAAATTTAAGTATTTAAAAAGCTTTGCAAGCCTCACATTTTAAATATAAAATTTAAATGTCTCTAGTGGAGAAATAAAGTATCACACTCGATGCATTGGTATAATCTATTTTTCTGGCCTATTAATGTAAGGAGCACATTACAATATCTTTACTACCTTAAAGTATACATTTACTCAACTTAAACTTCACTGTTGCCAGAACATAATCCTTTATCATGGAACACATAGGTTGCCTTTCTTTAGTTATATGGTGTTTTATCAGCAATTTGTACATTTTCCCTTTGATCTTACTGCCTAATCTATTTTAGATCATGGACAGGAATTGATACTCGAAAATATTAAGTTACGACTTCACGATTAAGTGTAGCAACGTCACATGTTCATGTCCATCTGCATCAATTTATCAAGTGCACACGACTTCATTCATACAACCGAAAACTTCACATATTTTTGTACCTGTAAACATTGTTGTATTAACTATTTCATTTTATTGCATATTCTCAACAAAAAACCATAGAGTTTTAAGACAAGTTTTTGATAAAAAGAATAGCAGCATTTTATTTTCTTATGATACTGACTTTATCCCTAGCAGGCTTGCTTGATATTCTTGCTGATTAAGTCAGTATCAAAAACAAAAATGCCGTTATTCTATATATATATTAGCTAGGGAAGCATGGTGGAGAGCAAAATATAATTCTAATTTTATCTATTTTCTTTATTTTAGGCAAAACATATCTCTAAGTGATTACTCTATTAATTTCCACCCTTTATTACTTTGTATTTACATATTGATGCTGTGATCTACCTCATATACACCTTATCTGGGTTTTTTTTTTTCTGCCTTTAATAGTGATAACAGATGTTAATTGTTGACGTCATACATGTTAGAGAAAATGTCTAACGCAACATTGCAAAAGTGATGGTTGTATAACGTCTATAAAGTGTAGCAAAAACACTAGTCAAGTGTCACAGATTCTGAAATAGCAATAAGGTCTATCAATACAAAAGTTTGAGAATGAAGCTCTTTCTACTCAGAAAAAACATTTCTTTCAGAAAATAATATCATGCATACTGGCTTTACTTCATCCAATGCTATTGAAAATATGACATGAATTGGATATGCAAGATGTTAAATGTTATTTAGAATATCACTCAATAATCATGATATTTGAAATGAACTTCATTTTTATACGACCAACCGCAAATGCGGTTGTATATTGGTATGACGTTGGCGTCGTTGTCTTCCGAATACACATTGGTTTTCGCACAATAACTTTAGTTTAAGTAAATGGATCTCTATGAAATTTTACCATAAGGTTCAATACCACAAAAGGAAGGTTGGGATTGAGTTTGGGGGTTATGGTACCAACAGTTAAGGAATTAGGGGCCAAAAATAAGCATTTTTGTAACTTCCAGACAATAACTTGTGTGTTAGTGTATGGATCTCTCTGACATTGTACCACAAGGTTCCATATCACAAAGGGAATGCTGGGATTGATTTTCGGGGGAATTGTATCAAAGTTTTAGGAATTAGGGGCCAAAAAAAGGGGCAAAAAACAAGCATTTTTCTAGTTTCATGACAATAACTTGTGTGTAAGTGTATGGATTTTTCTAAAATTATACTACAAGGTTCCATATCACAAAGGGAAAGCTGGAATTGAGTTTTGGGGTAATTGCCCAAAATGTTTAGGAATAAGGGGCCAAAAATAAGCATTACGGGACGTATTATGGTATACCGTTGACGGTCAGTCTGTCCGTCTGTCCCTCTGTCTGTCCGTCCGTCCATCGTCAACATGTCGGACAATAACTCAAAAACGCTTTTACCAATATGCATGAAACTTTGGTGAATTGTTTATATCTATTGACGTGAGCTCCCTTTCGTTTTTTTATAAGTTTCAGATTTACCGTTTCTGAATTTTGGAGTTTTATTCATTAAAAAAGGGGGGATTTTCCAGTTTTCGGACAATAACTCAAAAACAATTTCACTAATTTGCAAGAAACTTTGGTGAATTGTTTAATGCTATCGACATGAGCTCCCTTTTGATTTTTATAAATTTTAGACTATATGTTTCTGATTTATGGGGTTTTATTTGTTACAAAAAGGGGGATTTTCCAGTTTTTGGACAATAATTCAAAAATGCTTTCAGCATGTTTTATATCCTTAAAGTGCTAAGGGCAGTTTTCATTAAACTTTGATGACTGATTTATATCTATTAAGATAACCTCCCTTTAGTTTTTTTTTATAAATTTCTAATATAACATTGAGAAGTTATTGAACTTTGTTTGTTTATAGTCTGACAAAAGATTTACTAGTATTGCGCAACAGCACAGTGTATTGCACAACAGAAAGAAATCTTTAATTGAATATAAATTCAATTCATATAACCAATTTCAAGTTCTTTGACTACATTTATTCAGAAACCTATAATATGTCAAATATTTAATCCAAATTCAGACCTGTATCAAGCTTGAATATTGTGTCCATTTTTGCCCCAACTGTTCAGGGTTGGACCTCTGCGGGCGTATCCAGCAGCGCTCATCGAAGCAGTTTATTCTAGTTTCCAGACAATAACTTGTGTGTAAGTGTATGGATTTTTATACGACCGCAAAAAAATTTTGTGGTCGTATATTGGTATGACGTTGGCGGCGTCGTCGTCGTCCGAATACACATTGGTTTTCGCACTCTAACTTTAGTTTAAGTAAATGGATCTTTTTGAAATTTTACCATAAGGTTAAATACCACAAAAGGTAGGTTGGGATTGATTTTGGGGGTTATGGTTCCAACAGTTAAGGAATTAGGGGCCAAAAAGGGGCCAAAAATAAGCATTTTCTAGTTTCCAGACAATAACTGTGGAACGGTGTATGGATCGCTCTGAAATTATACTACAAGTTTCCATACCACAAAGGGATGGTTAGGATTTGCTTTGGGGGGTTATGGCTCAAACCGTTTAGGAATTAGGGGCAAAAAAGGGGGAAAAACAAGGTTGTCCTGGTTAATGGACAAATACTTTAGTACAAAACATAATTTAAAGCAGTGTAAGGGAGATAAATCAAATACATCATTGAAATTATCTCCCTTACACTGCTTTTAAATTATGTATAAAGTAATGGTTAATGAACAATAAAGATAATTTAAAACAGTGTAAGGGAGGTAATCAAAATACAACGTTTTGGTTACTTCCCTTACACTGCTTTTAAATTATGTTTAAAGAAATGCATATTTATAAAGGAAGACCAGTAAAAATATCTGCAAATGTTGCATCTTTTTTTTTTACAAAAAAATCCATATGAAAGATTTGACACTATATTTTTAATTCTATTATAAAATAGATTAAGTTAGCACTATGGTAAATTTAAATGGGTAATTATGGTTGCCAACTCCATTGGAAATTTGAATTGAGATTATGACCATATCTTGAGGGAAAGAATTTTTTGGGGGAAAAAAAGGGGGGGGGGGATAAAAAGAAATTGTGGGGGGTCAATTTTTTCTCATTTCAGATTTCAGAAATTAAAAAAATTATTCTTCAAATATTATTTTTTTTTCAAATTTCAAATATTGAAAAATTTCAAGAAGAAATCTTTAATTGCACAGTATGGCGCATTAAATTTGTAAAATCTTTGATCACATTTATTTATTTGTTATGCCGAATCCAACAGTGTATTTAGATTTTTAATTTTGGGTCCAGTTTTCAAATTGGTCTACATTAAGGTCCAAAGGGTCCAAAATTAAACTTTGTTTGATTTTAGCAAAAATTGAATATATGAGGTTCTTTGATATGCTGAATCTAAACATGTATTTAGATTTTTGATTTTTGGCCCAGTTTTCAAGTTGGTCCAAATTGGGGTCCAAAATTGAACTTTGTTTGATTTCATCTAAAATTGAATATATGGGGTTCCTTGATATGCTGAATCTAACCATGTATTTAGATTTTTTATTTGTGGACCCCGTTATCAAATTGGTTCATATTGAGGTCAAAAGGGTCCAAAATTAAACTTTGTTTGATTTCATCTAAAATTGAATTATTGGGGTTCTTTGATATTCCAAATCTAACCGTGTATTTAGATTTTTAATTTTGGGTCCTGTTTTTGAAATTGGTCTACATTAAGGTCCAAAGGGTCAAAATTAAACTAAGTTTGATTTTAACAAAAATTGAATTCTTGGGGTTCTTTGATATGCTGAATCTAAACATGTTTTTAGATTTTTGATTATGGGCCCAGTTTTCAAGTTGGTCCAAGATAGGGACCAGTATTTTAACTTTGTTTGATTTCAACAAAAAATGAATATATGGGGTTCTTTGATATGCTGAATCTAAACATGTATTTAGATTTTTGATTATGGGCCCAGTTTTCAAGTTGGTCCAAATTGGGGTCCAAAATTAAACTTTGTTTGATTTCAACAAAAATTGAATATATGAGGTTCTTTGATATGCTGAATCTAACCATGTATTTAGATTTTTTATTTGTAGGCCCCGCTATCAAATTGGTTCATATTGAGGTCAAAGGGGTCCAAAATTAAACTTTGTTTGATTTTATCAAAAATTGAATTATTGGGGTTCTTTGATATGCCATATCTAACCGTGTTTTTAAATTTTTAATTTGGGTCCCGTTTTTTAAATTGGTCTTCATTGAGGTCCAAAGGGTCCAAAATTAAACTTAGTTTGATTTTAACAAAAATTGAATTCTTGGGGTTCTTTGATATGCTGAATCTAAACATGTGTCTAGATTTTTTATTATGGGCCCAGTTTTCAAGTTGGTCCAAGTTGGGGTCTAAAATTAAACTTTTTTAGATTTCAACAAAAATTGAATATATGGGGTTCTTTGATATGCTGAATCTAACCATGAATTTAGATTTTTTATTTGTGGGCCCCGCTATCAAGTTGGTTCATATTGAGGTCAAAAGGGTCCAAAATTAAACTTTGTTTGATTTCATCAAAAATTGAATTATTGGGGTTCTTTGATATTCCAAATCTAACCGTGTATTTAGATTTTTAATTTTAAGTCCCGTTTTTTAAATTGGTCTACATTAAGCTCCAAAGGGTCCAAAATTAAACTTAGTTTGATTTTAGCAAAAATTGAATTCTTAGGGTTATTTGATATGCTGAATCTAAACATGTGTTTAGATTTTTGATTATGGGCCCAGTTTTCAAGTTTGTCCAAGTTGGGGTCCAAAATTAAACTTTGTTTGATTTTAACAAAAATTGAATATATGGGGTTCTTTGATATGCTGAATCTAACCATGTATTTTGATTTTGGACATTGGACCATAATAGGTAAATTAAAAAAATTCAAGTTCTTAGACCACATTCTTTGTGTGTCAGAAACCTATGCTGTGTCAAATATTTAATCACAATCCAAATTCAGAGCTGTATCAAGCTTGAATGTTGTGTCCATACTTGCCCCAACTGTTCAGAGTTCGACCTCTGCGGTCGTATCAAGCTGCGCCCCAGCGAAGCATTTTATTATGAAATTGTACTACAAGGTTCTATATCACAAAGGGAAAGCTGGGTTTGAGTTTGGGGGTAATTGCCCTAAACGTTTAGGAATTTGGGGCCAAAAAGGGGCCAAAAAAAAGCATTTTTAGTTTCCAGACAATAACTTGTGTTCAAGTGTAAGGATTTTTATGAAATTGTACTACAAGGTTTCATATCACAAAGGGAAAGCTGGGTTTGATTTTGGGGGCAATTGCCCTAAACGTTTAGATATTTGGGAACAAAAAGGGGCCAAAAAAACAAGCATTTTTTCAGTTTCCAGACAATAACTTGTGTTCAAGTGTTAAGATCTCTCTGAAATTGTACTGCAAGGTATCATACCTCAAAGGGAAGGCTGGGATTGAGTTTGGGGGTGATGAATCCTAAGGGTGTCCAAAACATTTGGGGGGTGGGGGATTTTTTTTTTTTTCTATTTTAAGACTTTTATTATGTATTTAAATTGGTAATGTTGGTTGCAAACTCCATTGGAAATTTGAATTGAGATTATGACCATATCTTGCGGGAAAGAGTTTTTTTTTTGGAAAAGGGGGGGGGGGGGGGGGGGGAATTAGGGGGGAGGGGGTATAAATTCATTTCATATAACCAATTCTAAATTCTTTGACTACAGTTATTGGGTGACAGAAACCTATTATGTGTCAAATATTTATTTACAATCCAAATTCAGACCTGTATCAAGCGGGAATATTGTGTCCATTTTTATGCGCCCGTCAAATTTTTGACGGGACGTATTATGTTATACAAATGTCCGGCGTCCGTCCGTCTGTCTGTTCGTCCGTCCGTCTGTCTGTCCGTCTGTCTGTCCGGCGTCAACATGTCGCACCGTAACTTGAGAATGACTTATCCAAATTTCTTGAAACTTAAAATAGTTGTTTCTTATGATGGTCAAAAGATCTGTATACTTTTTGGTGAAAATAAGATTAAAACTTTTTGAGTTACGGGACTTAGTAACTAAAACAGGTGTGTGTTTTTTTTCACATGTCGCGCCGTATCTCAAAAACAATTTATGATTATTGCTTAAAACTTTACACACTTCTTAGTTATATTAATCTTGAGATCTGTATACTTTTTGGTGATGATTCAAAATTTTATTTTAGAGATATTGAGTATTTTGTTAAAAAAGGGGGAGGGATTTTTCACATGTCACACCGTATCTCAAAAACAGTTTATGATTATTGCTTAAAACTTTACACACTTCTTAGTTATATTAACCTTAAGATCTGTATACTTTTTGGTGATGATTCAAAATTTTATTTTTGAGTTATTGAGTATTTTGTAAAAAAACGGGGAGGGGTTTTTCACATGTCGCGCTGTATCTCTAAAACGATTTATGATTATTGCTTAAAATTTTACACACTTCTTAGTTATATTAATCTAAAGATCTGTATACTTTTTGGTTTTGATTCAAAATTTTGTTTTTGAGATATTGATTTTTTTTTTTTTAAAAGGGGGGGTTTTCACATGTCGCGCCATATCTCAAAAACGATTTATGACTATTGCTTAAAATTTTACACACTTCTTAGTTATATTAATCTAAAGATCTGTATACTTTTTGGTTTTGATTCAAAATTTTATTTTAGAGATATTGAGTTTTTTGTAAAAAAAAAAGGGGGTTTTCGCATGTCACGCCATATGTCAGAAACTATTTATGCTTATTGCATAAAAATTCACACACAAGACGAAGGACGTATCATGCGCTCATGGCGCAGCTGTTTATTGCCCCAACTGTTCAGGGTTGGACCTCTGCGGATGTATCCAGCTGCGCTCGGCGAAGCATTTTATTGACAATTATAAATGTATGTTGTAGAAGTTCCAGATTTGGATAGGCCAATCAAGGAGGTCTCTAAACATAGCAGTGATGGAAATTTGAAATTGTATGTATACGACATTTTTACAGTTAGATATATCAAACTTGCCTAAACATGCTAAAGTTTGATCAGGCCATTTGTTTTGACCCCATGAAATAAAAAAAAATTATTAACCTAACCAATAACATCCTTCAAAATACTTTTATTTAGCATCATATATTTTAATTAGAAAAACTTAAAATGAAACATTTCCAAAGTTTAGATCTTTTAAAATCAGGTTTTTGTCAAGTAAAAATTGCACTTTGTGTTTTATTTTCTCTGTTACAATAATTTATTTAATTGTTATGTTTTAGAAGTATTTTTTTTTGAAATGTAAAATATAAAATTAAAAATATTTGTTGCTAAACTTTTTTACACAAAATATTTGCTGTAAGGCTTCAGACTACAAAATGTCTTATAAAAGGTGGAAACATAAGTGAATTGTCTTTCTGATTAAGTCTTTGGCTCATATCTAATTTTGCTTAAAACTGTGTAAAATGGTCATTTTGGTTCTAATATTTCAATGTTTACATGTTTATGACATCATAGTGTCCTGTCTGCACTTAAGTGTCCAGATTAAATTATCCAAATCATATATCATAATTATAGGTTTGGTTGGATTTTTTTTTATAAGGCTGCATGGGGGCATTCGTGTCATACCAACAAATATAGTGTGATGCCCAAGGATCTGGCAATTTTTTCACACAATTTCTGTCATTTTGATAAGACTTAAAAGTTGGTGCCCTCTTTTTCAAATTGTCAAAATCATACTACTACTAGTACTGGTACTAGTCACTAGATTCATAGCAACAATGAACTTGTATTGACTGTTTCATCGCATTTACTTAATGAATTTTCTTACCATTTTCCTAAAAACGCTCAAGAACAGTTTAGGAAAGGCAACAGTTTAAAATTGAAATGATTTTAATGACCCCTTTTACCCTTGTCCGTCTGTACGTACGTCCGTCTGTACGTCCCAAAATTGGTTTCCTTTCTCTTACTTTAGTATGCCTCAATCAAATGTTATGAAACTTATACACAATGCTTATTACCACAAAACACAGATCAAGTTTGAATTTTGGTGGAGTCACTCTTACAGTTCTAGAGTTATGCCCCTTTACAAATGGAAAATTGCTGAATTTTTCGTTTCCGTTCTCCAACTTTAGTTTGGCTCAACCAAATGTTATGAAAATTATAGATAATGCTTATTATCTGAAAACACAGATCAAGTTGAATTTTGGTGGCGTCACTTTTACCGTTTAAGAGTTATGCCCCTTTACAAATGAAAAAATTGCTGAATTTTTCGTTTCCGTTCTCTAACTTAAGTTTGCCTCAACCAAATGTTATGAAACTTATACATAATGCTTATTACCACAAAACACAGATCAAATTGGAATTTGGGTAGCGATACTTTTACCATTCTAGAGTTATGCCCTTAACAAATATAAAAATGTCGATTTTTTTGTTTTTGTTCACTAACTTAAGTTTGCCTCAACCAAATGTTCTGAAACTTATACACAATGCTTTTTACCACAAAACTCAGATCAAGTTTACATTTAGGTAGTGCCACATTTACTGTTCTAGAGTTATGTCCCTTTATAACATTTCATGCAAGCGGGGCATCATCTGTGTCCCATGGACACATTCCCCATTTATATTACCTTTAAAAGTGTTTTGAATATAACAGATGATAGTTGCACTTGTTTAATTTAGCATGAAATCATTTTGCATTTTACCATTAAGTGTCTAATCTGCTAAAGACAATTTCATGCATGTGTATTACATGTAAATAAAGCACATGTCAATTGCATGTTTAACATGTGAAAAATTACTTTTTACTACGTAAATTGAATTAAGTTTTAAATTTTAAATCAGAATTGACGACTGTTTTTGCTGAAAGTAATTAAATAATGAAGACAGTTGTCATGGAATTTTAATTTCTTTATGATAATAGTTCTGAGCTTGTGATCAATGTAAGGTATGAATTAAAAACACAGGTAAAAAATGATTAGTGATCATTAGCAAATATTTCCCGGAGGCATTAATATAGTTATTATGAGGGCCCTCAAGATTATCATACTATACTGGAGTGGCAGTGTTATTACAGGAAAGGGATTACAAAACAAAAACAAGTGCAAAAAGGGCGAATAAGAAACCCGATCTCAATGAAATGACCGAAATTATTTCTGTAAGAAAATAAAATTTGTCCTAAATCCCAAAATTTTTTCAAGACAAATCGCTTGCAGTTTAGGTCATGACTGGCAAATATGACCATTTCCAGACCCTTGGTGATGCCCCAGATACGAAAGTAGGGGACATTATTTTTTTCTGACAGTGCAGCAGTCTGTTGTTTATTTGTCTATCACTATCAGGTTATAGTTTTGCATTAGGGTAGTTAACCAATAAGTTGTGGTCACATCAACTTGAAAAATTAGTTTGCATATTTGATTTTGGTGTGAACTTTTTAAATTATATGCCAAATTAAGGTTTTGACCTAGATTTTGTGGTTCACTGAATATGTTATGTGAGAGTGCAAGTGGAGCATGGCGTCTTATGTATGCATTTTCTTGTTATTTGAAAAATTCATAAAAAGGATAACAGAATTCACCAAAAATATTGAAGGATACAACAGACCACATAAACTACTGACATCAGCCTCCTTCAAATATTAAATGAACAAACAAAGACAACCAACAAAAAACAACAAAGGGTCAAAATAGTTTGACCAGGCACAAAATAAACCAGTTTTCCAGTGCACAAACATCCCCTTTGCCTTTCTATATAAGAGAAATGCATAGAAATTAGGGTAACACGATTTCCAGAGAACTCCCAATAACCGAATATATACACACGAAATCGTGATACCGTAGAAATTAATTTACACAGTCAAATGAATCTTCCAACTTTGATCCTTTGTTTATACAGATGTAACATCTTTCGAGTATGATCTGTTCTCAAATCCAAACAGATATTTTAAAGTTTGAATTGTGGAATCATTTATTTTCATAGGTAGCAATTTCATGGATTGAGAATAGTCTTTAAATGAGAAAAACTTAATGAGCAAGTCTGTACTGTAGATGACACCTACATGTAATCAGACTACCACAGGATATTGTTTGTAACAAAACTAATTTCAGCACACTCGTTTATCAAGTTATTATTAAACATAACTTAATATGTATTGCCATCCTGTTATGAAAATTATGGTCCTACATCATGTTGATACCATCTACTAATATTTTGACATTGCATAAGACTGTGCTTTTCTCAGACTTTTATTACATCTCCACACTAAATCATTTGGATGTGTAGTGATTGATATTTTAGTCTGAATAATATGGTAAATATTTATAAGTTATAATTTGAACTAGCTTTCAATATTAAACTGCAAGTACTCTTTGATCTGTCACTCTGCAACACTTTTTTAGTGACTATCCCATGTCAGAAATCTGTAATTCATTGGTTGTCAGGTTTTTAAAATAAATCAGGTCCTTGGTTTTCTCTTTTGAATTTTTCACATTTTGTGATGTGGGAATATGCCTTTTATAGCTTACTATACCATATGGATTTGGTTTATTGTTGATGGCCATGTGGGGACCTATAGTTGCTTAGAGCAACTTCATTTGGTCTCTGGTGGATAGTTGTCTCATTGGCAATCATACCACATCTGCTTATTTGTATGCCCCCGCCGTAGCAGTGGGGGCATTAAGTTTTACCCTTGTCCGTCTGTACGTACGTCCCAAAATTGGTTTCCGTTCTCTAACTTGAGTTTGCCTCAACCAAATGTTATGAAACTTATAAACAATGCTTATTACCACAAAACACAGATTGAGTTTGAATTTTGGTGGCGTCACTTTAACTGTTCTAGAGTTATGCCCTTTATAAATGGAAAAATTGCAAATTTTTAGTTTCCGTTCTCTAACTCAAGTTTGTCTCAACCAAATGTTATGAAACTTATACACAATGCTTATTACCACAAAACACAGATCAAGTTTGAATTTTGGTGGCATCAATTTAACCATTATAGAGTTATGCCCCTTTATAAATGGAAAAATTGCAAAATTTTTAGTGTCCGTTCTGTAACTTTAGTTTGCTTCAACCAAATGTTATGAAACTTATAAACAATGCTTATTACCACAAAACACAGATCGAGTTTGAATTTTGGTGGCGTCACTTTAACTGTTCTAGAGTTATGCCCTTTATAAATGGAAAAATTGCAAATTTTTAGTTTCCGTTCTCTTACTCAAGTTTGCCTCAACCAAATGTTATGAAACTTATACACAATGCTTATTACCACAAAACACAGATCAAGTTTGAATTTTGGTGGCATCAATTTAACCATTATAGAGTTATGCCCCTTTATAAATGGAAAAATTGCAAAATTTTTAGTTTCCGTTCTGTAACTCAAGTTTGCCTCAACCAAATGTTATGAAACTTATACACAATGCTTATTACCACAAAACACAGATCAAATTTGATTTTTGGTGGCGTCACTTTAACCGTTTTAGAGTTATGCCCCTTTATAGATGGAAAAATTGCAAAATTTTTATTTTCTTCTAAATATCAAGTAATTTTTAAAATTGGAGTTATCTTCCTTTGTCCATGATTATAGTTAAATCAACTACAATCAATGCTTTATACAATGCAATGTTTAATTTTGACTTCCACTGATAAAAAACAGATCAAGTTGAATTTGGGTAGTGTCACGTAAACCATTTTTGAGTTATGCCCCTTTATAAATCGAATGATAGCAAATTTTTAGTTTCCTTTCTGTAACTTAAGTTTGCCCCAACCAAACATTATGAAACCTATACACAATATTCATTACCACAATACAAAGATCAAGTACACATTTTTTGTTTCCGTTTTCTTACTTTAGTTTGCCTCAACCAAATGTTATGAACTTATACACAATGCTTATTACTACATAATACAGATCAAGTACATAATTTGGTGGCAACACTTTTACCATTCTTGAGTTATGTCCCTTTTTAAACATAAAAATTGCTGAATTTTTCGTTTCCGTTCTCTTACTTTATTTGTCTCAACCAAATGTTATAAAACTTGTACACAACTGTTCTAGAGTTATGCGTGTTTACAAAAGAAAAATTGCTGAATTTTTAGTTTCTGTTCTCTACTTTAGTTTGCCTCAACCAAATGTTATGAGACTTACACACAATGCTTATTACCACAAAACTCAGATCAAGTTCAAATTTGGGTAGCGTCACTTTTACCGTTCTTCAGTTATGTCCCTTTATAACTATATGATATGCAAGCGGGGGCATCATCTGTGTCCACATATGGACACTATCCACATTTATTATATTCTAATTTTGACTGTATATTGTGTCATTGGATGAATATTCTTATTTAAATACTGTACTCATTCTGGTAATATAGAATTGTTACAAGTAGAATAGAATTTCATGTTGCTCTATTTTGATAGTACATGTAATATGAATAAGTCATATTTATATTCTATTGCAGAATTGTGGCACTGGTAATCTCTCTTCCTGGAATTATTGTATCTTACATTATCTACCGCCGCAGTAAAAGAGGTAAGATGTGCCAAAGATATAGACTTATGACAATGTGGTTTACTTTTATTACATGTTCAAAAATGGGAAGACATTTTTTAGTTCACCCCAAAGAACTGTTGTACTACACCATTTTATTTTTCACTGAAAAAATATAATGTTAATGATTCACACCAGTTTAAAACATTTCAAATGGTCCTGACTATATTTTTGGTCCATAGGACATTGTTTATTTTATGATATTTAAAGACACTCCTTAACTTTGATCAGCTGCCTTTGTCCTGTCTTCTCTCAACCTTCCATTTTATTGCCATTACACCTTAGAAAAACTATAGATATATATATATATTTTCAGTGCATCGACTGACATACCATTTTTCTTCACTGACAACAGTAAAAAATATTTAAGAACATGAAGCTTTCCAAGCATTTTAAACATTTGAAATTTAAACTGTCTAGATAAGAAAATAATTATATTGCACAAGATAATGTGTTGGAATCTGTTTACTGTACACACAGTAATTATTGTGTGCATTTATTATTGCGATTTCAATGTGAAGGACCAAATTGTGAGGATAATTATTGGGATTACAGGAAAAGTTGCATACAGATATATGTGTCAGATTTCAGAATGCGACTTTTAAGTCCCCTACTAACGAAGTCGAAGGGGACGTTAGGTTTTCACTCCGTCTGTGTCCATCCGTCAGTCCGGCAAATTAGCTTTCCACACTTTTTTTCTTCTTTCTTGAAGATATTGATAAAATCCTGGGGAGAACACTGCAATGTACTTAGATTTTGGATATTGGCCAATAATAGGTAAATGTCCAATTTCATATTTTTCAGTTCTTTGACCACATTCATTTTGTGTCACAAACCTATGCTGTGTCAAATATTCAACCACAATCCAAATTCAGAGCTGTTTTAAGCTTAAATGTAGTGTCCATACTTGCTCAACTGTTCAGGGTCCGACCTCTGCAGGAAAATCCGGTTTGCTGTCACTCTGACAGCCTCTTGTTGAATTTACAGTAGTACTTATTGATTTTAGGCAATATGTAGGGAACCTTTGACTTTCTGTTCTGGTGATCTGCAAAACAATTTTGTATATTTATTGTGTGATGTCATCAGGCATTGTGAACTTTTTTGCATGCTGTCAAAATAGGCTAAAGTAAGGAAATTTGATTGTTTGGATGATTGATTGGTGTTCAACACCACTTTCAGCACTATTGTGGTATTTCATGGTGGTCAGTTTTTATTATACGACCGCAAAAATTAAAAATTTTTTGGTCGTATATTGGTATGACGTTGGCGTCGTCGTCGTCGTCGTCCGGCGTCGTCCGAAGACACATTGGTTTTCGCACTCTAACTTTAGTTTAAGTGAATGGATCTCCATGAAATTTCACCATAAGGTTCAATACCACGAAAGGAAGGTTGGGATTGATTTTGGGGGTTATGGTACCAACAGTTAAGGAATTAGGGGCCAAAAAGGGGCCAAAAATAAGCATTTTTGTAACTTTCAGACAATAACTTGTGTGTAAGTGTATGGATCTCTCTGACATTGTACCACAAGGTTCCATATCACAAAGGGAAGGCTGTAATTGATTTTGGGGGTAATTGCCTCAAAATTTTAGGAATTAGGGGCCAAAAAAGGGGCAAAAAACAAGCATTTTTCTAGTTTCATGACAATAACTTGTGTGTAAGTGTTTGGATATTTCTGAAATTGTACTACAAGGTTCCATATCACAAAGGGAAAGCTGGAATTGAGTTTGGGGGTAATTGCCCGAAACGTTTAGGAATTGGGGGCCAAAAAGGGGCCAAAAATAAGCATTTTTCTAGTTTCCAGACAATAACTTGTGTTCAAGTGTATGGATCTCTCTGAAATTGTACTGCAAGGTACCATACCACAAAGGGAAGGCTGGGATTGAGTTTAAGGGTGATGAATCATAAGGGGGTTCAAAAAATTTGGGGGGGGGGATTTTTTTTTTTTTTTTTTTTCTTTTTTTCCTTTTTATACGACCGCAAAAATTGAAAATTTTTTGGTCGTATATTGGTATGACGTTGGCGTCGTCGTCGTCGTCGTCGTCGTCGTCGTCGTCGTCGTCGTCGTCGTCGTCTGGCGTCGTCCGGCGTCGTCCGAAGACACATTGGTTTTCGCACTCTAACTTTAGTTTAAGTGAATGGATCTCCATGAAATTTTACCATAAGGTTCAATACCACAAAAGGAAGGTTGGGATTGATTTTGGGGGTTATGGTACCAACAGTTAAGGAATTAGGGGCCAAAAAGGGGCCAAAAATAAGCATTTTTGTAACTTTCAGACAATAACTTGTGTGTAAGTGTATGGATCTCTCTGACATTGTACCGCAAGGTTCCATATCACAAAGGGAAGGCTGTAATTGATTTTGGGGGTAATTGCCTCAAAATTTTAGGAATTAGGGGCCAAAAAAGGGGCAAAAAACAAGCATTTTTCTAGTTTCATGACAATAACTTGTGTGTAAGTGTTTGGATATTTCTGAAATTGTACTACAAGGTTCCATATCACAAAGGGAAAGCTGGAATTGAGTTTGTGGGTAATTGCCCGAAACGTTTAGGAATAGGGGGCCAAAAAGGGGCCAAAAATAAGCATTTTTCTAGTTTCCAGACAATAACTTGTGTTCAAGTGTATGGATCTCTCTGAAATTGTACTGCAAGGTACCATACCACAAAGGGAAGGCTGGGATTGAGTTTGGGGGTGATGAATCATAAGGGGGTTCAAAAAATTTGGGGGGGGGGGATTTTTTTTTTTTCTTTTTTTTTCTTTTTTTCTTTTTTTTTTTCTTTTTAAATTTTCCATTTTAAGTTGATTATTTCTGATTAATATTTAAAAGCAAATAATAATGATATGGTAGGAGATACACACCAAACAGGATGTGTAAATTATTATATAATAAGTATTGTGCAATAGCAAGAAATTTTCAATTGCACAGTATTGCACAATTGCAAGAAATCTTCAATTGCACAGTATTGCGCAATAGCAAGAAATCTTCAATTGCACAGTATTGCGCAATAGCAAGAAATATCCAATAGCACAATATTGCGCAATAGCAAGAAATTGTCAATTGTACAGTATTGCACAATAGCAAGAAATATTCAATTGCACAGTATTGTGCAAAAGAAGATACTTCGTATAAATTGGTAATTTCTTGATCAATTTCAATGGGGTTTTATTCTTGAATTTTTGGGGTTCTTTAATATGCTGAATCTAACCGTGTATTAAGTTTTTGGATTTTGGGCCCCGTTTTTAAATTGGTCCACATTGAGGTCCAAAGGGTCCAAAATTTAACTTTGTTTGATTTCATCAAAAATTGAATTATTGGGGTTCTTTGATATGCCGAATCTAACCGTGTATTTAGATTCTTAATTTTTGGTTCCGTTTTCAAATTGGTCTACATTAAGGTCAAAAGGGTCCAAAATTAAACTTAGTTTGATTTTAACAAAAATTGAATTTTTAGGGTTCTTTGATATGCTGAATCTAAACATGTATTTAGATTTTTGATTATGGGCCCAGTTTTCAAGTTGGTCCAAATCGGGGTCCAAAATTAAACTTTGTTTGATTTCAACAAAAATTGAATATATGGGGTTCTTTGATATGCTGAATCTAACCATGTATTTAGATTTTTGATTTTTGGGCCCCGTTATCAACTTTGTCCACATTGAGGTCAAAAGGGTCCAAAATTAAACTTAGTTTGATTTCATCAAAAATTGAATTCTTGGGGTTCTTTGATATGCTGAATCTAACCATGTATTTAGATTTTTTATTTGTGGACCCGCTATCAAATTTGTTCATATTGAGGTCAAAAGGGTCCAAAATTAAACTTTGTTTGATTTCATCAAAAATTGAATTATTGGGGTTCTTTGATATGCCAAATCTAACCGTGTATTTAGATTTTTAATTTGGGTCCCGTTTTTAAATTGGCCTACATTAAGGTCCAAAGGGTCCAAAATTAAACTTAGTTTGATTTTAACAAAAATTGAATTCTTGGGGTTCTTTGATATGCTGAATTTAAACATGTGTTTAGATTTTTGATTATGGGCCCAGTTTTCAAGTTGGTCCAAGTTGGGGTCCAAAATTAAACTTTGTTTGATTTCAACAAAAATTGAATATATGGGGTTCTTTGATATGCTGAATCTAAACATGTATTTAGATTTTTGATTTTTGGCCCAGTTTTCAAGTTGGTCCAAATTGGGGTCCAAAATTAAACTTTGTTTGATTTCAACAAAAAATGAATATATGGGGTTCTTTGATATGCTGAATCTTACCATGTATTTAGATTTTTTATTTGTGGGCCCGCTATCAAATTGGTTCATATTGAGGTCAAAAGGGTCCAAAATTAAACTTTGTTTGATTTCATCAAAAATTTAATTATTGGGGTTCTTTGATATGCCAAATCTAACCGTGTATTTAGATTTTTAATTTTGGGTCCCGTTTTTTAAATTGGTCTACATTAAGGTCCAAAGGGTCCAAAATTAAACTTAGTTTGATTTTAACAAAAATTGAATTTTTGGGGTTCTTTGATATGCTGAATTTAAACATGTGTTTAGATTTTTGATTATGGGACCAGTTTTCAAGTTGGTCCAAGTTGGGGTCCAAAATTAAACTTTGTTTGATTTCAACAAAAATTGAATATATGGGGTACTTTGATATGCTGAATCTAAACATGTATTTAGATTTTAGATTTTTGGCCCAGTTTTCAAGTTGGTCCAAATTGGGGTCCAAAATTAAACTTTGTTTGATTTCAACAAAAATTGAATATATGGGGTTCTTTGATATGCTGAATCTTACCATGTATTTAGATTTTTTATTTTGTGGGCCCGCTATCAAATTGGTTCATATTGAGGTCAAAAGGGTCCAAAATTAAACTTTGTTTGATTTCATCAAAAATTGAATTATTGGGGTTCTTTGATATGCCAAATCTAACCATGTTTTTAGATTTTTAATTTTGGGTCCCGTTTTTTATATTGGTCTACATTAAGGTCCAAAGGGTCC